TTTGGTGACAAGGTCATTGTATCGACCATAGAAGTTAGAAATGATGACTTTAATCGAGAAATATTATTTAAAATCTCACACAGAGACAGCATTAAAATGCATATGGTGTTTACATCGCCCATGCTCCGAGTACTTCCGATTTTTCTAATCGACACAGGCTATCGACAGACAAGTTGATGTTACACGCATTTCACAACCTCGTTTGTCGTCAGCATTTAAAAAATTATATGATTGTTGACCTTGTAAGCAAATATATATGCTACATTAAAGTTTTAGAATTCAGAGAATTTAAAACTAACTATAACAAGCTTAGTTTTAAATTCTCTGAATTCTAAAACTTTAATGCAACATTCTGTCTTGTGACACGATAGCGGTGTTTTTCTTTGAAGTTTACTGTTCTGTATTAGCAATACAGAACGGGACTACGGTGGGCGGAGCTACTTTCCGATCTGTATTAGCCTAGTATACCGTACTGGCGAACTATTCTGTATCTAAAATACAGCACGGTCTAAAAATAAATCTGATTCAATTTAGCAAAAGCACGTCCAAATAGTAAATGCTGATGTTTTCCTATTACATAAATTTTGGAGAAATACCCGGTATTTTCCTGAGAATGTAAAATGTCAAAATTTCTAAATCACTTTTTAAAAACTTATTCCACACAGAATCTACATGTAATTTCGATCCAAAGTAAAAGGAAAATTCGCAATAACGGAAAACATCCTCTGTACGTAATTTCGCTCCAAACGAAACCATGGAAACGGAAAATTTGCAATAACGGAAAACATCCACTCTCCTCGTGCAAAATCATTCAAATCCATTTTCCCGCGTTTTTATTTTTTAAAATCCTTCTCGCTGACGACAGGCACACGTCTCTTAATGTCGCAATTCAATTTGAAAATAAAAATCCGTGACAGTCCATCGAAGAATTTTCTGTAAATCCTGTTTTTGTTAATCTAGTTAAACCGGGATTTTAAGACTCCTCAGTGAAATAAATTTACGATAAATCTCCATCTTCAATTTAATAGATCACAACAATGACGGTTAAATCCTCCACCTTATTCATTAAGACAGACTATCACTCGATTACGTCTACCCCATTCAGTTGTCAAAACTAATCTGACCGAATTTTACGTTTTCCGTGGAAATATATATACTGCGGATGCGTACTCCCCGTCGGGGCCTCATCTACAGAACTCAGACGGAAGTTTAGATGCTGCAAAGTTATAAAGTGGGCGGAGCTATTTTTGATTGATCGTGTCACAAATCATTTAGAGAACTCGACAGGTTCTGTATCGTAGATACAAATTTGGGGGTGGAGACTCGTGCTCGCGCACTCGTCTCCGCCCCCAAATTTGTATCTACGATACAGAACCTGTCGAGTTCTCTAAATAATACTTATTCTGGCTAACATGCATCATACCAATTGCAAGGCTTTTGTTTTTTTTAACTGCAGAATATTCCGTCTAACCGTAATTGGTAAATTGGTAAATTGGTAAAGCGTTAAGCCGTCTAACCGTACGTAGGATCATAGCAGGTGTGACCAGTCAATAGGGTATGCTTACGCCTCGTAGGCACCTGACCTCCCCTGGAATTTCCGAAGGTCCCTGGTTATGCACTGCTAATATATTTATAATGTTTATAGATTTTTTCAGATCGATCATTAATCGTTTTCATAACCGTTTTCTATGTTTAAAGAATATAAAAATAGGGGTTTAATATTTGCGAATATGATATTTAACTCCTTTTTTCCGAGACCCAACTTTTAGGTTATTTACATGACACATGCATTTTTTTAACAGAGAACGCGTGCAAATATGGCAAATATCAAATCAGTAAGAGGGTCTGCCACTAAACCTAATTGGTCTGACTTTTATTATCGTAAAAGGCTTTTTCTTATTTGAAATTGGTAAAGCGTTAAGCTGAATTTGTAGATTTAGGGGTAACTCAATAATCTTTTATAGCAGACTATTGAAAATGTGGAAGTTTTTAAACGTATGCACACGGTTTTTATCTGATTGTATCGCGTGTATGGCTGCGATGTTCTTTTACTTGGGTATACCTAAGGGACCATGAAGACGTTTTAGTCACTTTAAGTATATACAAAATGGCTAATACGGTAAGAGATGTATTTCAAACTTGTTTGTATTGAAAATTTACATAATAACTTGGTGATACGAAAATTTTATAACGAACTGATTATTCATTTTTACCAGTGTATTGGTTTTGAGTATCTCTAACAACAGTAATGACTGACCGTCATTGGTTATTACTGGTTAATTCTATTTCAGTATTATTTCAATATCTGAAAAGATTAATTTTTTTCTTAAAAAAGGATAAAATTCATTGTCAGAGACATAAATCAAGTGGAAGTGGTCTACAATATTGCCTAACATACACGATTTCTATGGACGGCCAGGGTTAAAACTATATACATGTATTATATAGACCCTGACCATGGGAGGTCCAGGATGCAAACATGGGAAGGCTAGGGTGGACGGCCAGGGTGTACATCATGGGTAGCCAGGGTAAAAACTACAGATTATATAGACCCTTACCCTGGGGGTCCCCTATGGCTTTCCATAGATTTCAGTTAAAATATGATTAATGTAATCTAAAATGTCAAAAAAACATGTTTTAAACAAAAAAGAATAGTCCAGCGAAACATGACGGCGAAGCTAGTATTGTTTTAACCAGAAGGCGAAGTAAGTATTGTTTAAATACTTTCGTTGCATGAATCCGATTCTTCAGTATAGATGTTACCTAAACTGTTTCTGTAACCAGTGCCCCTCTCATGTTCACGTATTGATCAATAATTAACAATTTTCGAGTTCACCAAATAAAATTATCAAAATTTTGACGAAGAAAAAGCCTACATTTGTGTGCCAAATATTCACCGACAAAGTATGCACAAACTTATGGGTCATATTACTAGATAAGTTTTTTATCGATTGATCTTATATTTAAGATGTTTACGCTTTGAAGTGCACATGATTGTATAATTTGAAAAATGTTACCTATTTTCATTCATTCTTTTATGTAAAATTTAAAAGGAAATAGAGTGTCAGTTTGAATTGCTATTGCCTTTAATTGTATTTAGATCTGCCAGAAGAGGGTTATATTTTCGTCAAAATATCATAAGAAAGGGGCATACTCTAAAACCTGGCCTGGCCCCTTTGGCCTGGCCTGGCCTCTAAGTTGGCCTGGCCTCTATTTTGGCCTCTAATTTGGCTTCAAACCAAATTTTGGCCTGGCCTCAAAAGTTGGCCTGGCCTCAAATTTGGCCTCTGTAAAAGTTTTTGGCCTCAATTTTGGCCTCACTCAAAAATATTTTCTTTTTCAGAATTTGATTTGATTTTATTGATTTTTTATTGGTTTTATTTTTTTTCACAGATTAAGCAGGTGATTAATATATTTTTGTTGATATGTAAATGTGAACATTAAAAATAATCATGTACTACCACCAACAAGGATTATTTTATTGATTATCAATTGATCAAGTTATTTATTTTATTATTTACAGGTATTTCATACAGACACGCTACCGATACTCTTGCTTATAATTATTTAGAAAAAAAAGTTTCAGAGTTTATTTTGTGTTTTCCAAATTGTGAACATTAAAAAAAAACTCTAGTAATAATTCATGTCAAATGTCATTAATAGCTTTGAAAAATTCCCACTTGTTAAGTAGATGAATCATCATCTTTCACACACTGTGGAGTGTTGTGTTACTGTTATGCCTGCATCATCTGTGTGATATATGAATACAAGCACCTAAGATTTTTTTTTCAAATAAATATACCAAGACAGATACCAAAATATTTATATTACACTTATTTGATTACTCTGTTAAAAATTTGGTATTTAAAAAAATTAAGATAAATAACATTATCAGATAATTTATAACTTTCTGTTCCTGGTGTGCCGTAACACTGTAATTGGATATCAAATGACAAAAAATTCTGCAGCAGGGTTCTTGACAGGGAGTTTAAAGGTTGAAGTTAATCAGTAATGACATGTATATGTGCATAGGCTGTTAAGCCACCCATGATTTATAAAGAATTTCCTGCTACAACTTTCACTACCTACAATTATCAAAACAAAAGTTGAGTTTGATGATAGATTATTAACATTTGTGCTGTAAAACAATTGCATCCTATTCACCATTAGAACCCTATCATATAAAATGTGGCCAGTTACTTGCATATCATAGTATTGACTCTTTTTCTATCATTTGTAAAAGTAGTCAACATCATCAAACAGATTTTTTTAATTCTAAATAAAGACAGTTTAAAAAAACTTGTATTAAACAAGTAATACTTAAAACGGCAAATTTAAAATTCTTTTTAGTTCTTAGTTAATTACTACTCATCTGCATTTCTTTGTTGTCTTCATAATTTAATTGTGATGTTTCTAAATATTTTTTTTATTTAAACAATATTTTATTCACTGGTGTTATCGTGAATAGGATTGGGCAGCAGGCGCAGCCTATTTTAGCCCTCTCCCTGATTTTGTAAATGTTTTTACTCTGTAAAAATTATCATTCCTACCATGGAAATTTAAAAAAATAAAGGCACATTTAATAAATCATTAAGAAAGTGTCTTTTTGAAAGTAAAATTATATGCTCTGTGTTATAGTCTTCAGAATTGCAACACATCAATAGAAAATCAATAAAAATAAATCAGATTGGTAGTAGTGTATAATTATTTTAATGTTCACATTTACATATCGACAGAAATATATTAATCACCTGCTTAATCTGTGAAAAAAAATGAAACCAATAAAAAATCAATAAAATCAATCAAATTCAGAAAAAGAAAATATTTTTGAGTGAGGCCAAAATTGAGGCCAAAAATTTTTACAGAGGCCAAATTTGAGGCCAGGCCAACTTTTGAGGCCAGGCCAAAATTTGGTTTGAAGCCAAATTAGAGGCCAAAATAGAGGCCAGGCCAACTTAGAGGCCAGGCCAGGCCAAAGGGGCCAGGCCACGTTTTAGAGTATGCCTAAGAAAGGGGTCCTAGTAAACCTGCGTAAACCAACGGTACCACAATGGACGATTTTACAGATAACAGAAAACAGGACACAGTCTATAGTACTATACGTGTTCATTGATGACGGAAGAGAAACATCTAAGGATCTTGTTTTAAATTTGCCTCTCCATGCCAAACTCTCCCCAGATGTACACAACTATTCATGTGCACCATTATTTCAAGGTGTTTTTTATTTTGACATTTAACAAACAAAGCAGTTACCTGAAAATGCCATTGGGAATACTTGTTGCTATAGTTCGTATTGCATTTAAAAATGTACTGAAAAGATATACCAAGCAATAAACAACATCATTGTACATTGAATAATGTTAGCAAGAATAGTATTTTTTAAAAGTAGATTCCATTTTCAACCATGTTTATCTAAGATATTCAAATTTTTGTGGAAATCACATGCATGTTTAAATGACCATAGATAATTAACGAACAAAAGTAGCAAATGTTAAAAATGAAGACAAATAATCTTCCAGATGGAAAAGATGGCAAAAAGATCATCGAGACATTGAAACAGTTTTCCAGTGTGGTAATTATATTTCTTCATTCCAATTTCATCAACCAGACCTTAAGATTCTTAATTTTGACTTGATTAATGGGCTTAATATATTGAGATTCCATTCATATAATGATGAGATCGATTATTATTCAGCACCTTCACCTATTGGTAACAAGTGGTTGACAAATAAGTCCCCCCCCATATTTTCTTTAATTTTGTAAAAAGTAAAGAATAAAGTGCAAAGATTATATAAAACCGGTGAGAGAGAAAAACTGCACCGTGAACTCATTAGATTGCCATAATTTTACAACCAGGAATTTTAGTTTTTGGCAGATTTCGTCTTTTAGGTAACAGATAACATTATACACGCAATACGTTTTTGTTTTGATTCGAAATTGTGCGAACTTAGCCAAAACACGATAATTCTACAAAATAAATATGTACTCAGTATTTAAAATACAAAACTAAATAAAATGAATACATTTTTATGTAAACCTGATGCTTGTTCAAGCTTGATATTACGTACATCCCTCTTCCTGAAGCTAACTATTGGCTGTTTAATTTCAGGGGACTTTTTCTGTAGACGTGGATCACAAACCACCTTCATTATATACCGTAATGGACCTTCATTCCCTAAATACAAGGGTAGAACCCCCACTCAATAATCCACCTGCATCGCCTTTAACGACTTCATCAAATTAGAAGGGATACCCCGTTAACACGGAAAGTTTTAATCTTATATTTCTGAAGGACATAGAGACGGGGGTTATACGTCTATACAACACAGAAGCTTCTCAGTTTACTTTTCCGTTTCAGCTTCGTCCTATGTGTGATTATGAACTAATGTCATTACGGGGGTGTAGAATCCAAAACCATTGTTACCTTATTGCTGCAGTTGCACTTTGCTCATTTAGGACATGTAAGTATTTTGAGCCTCAGTCACAATCCTCATGTTTACTTGTGGTAATCATGAAAACCGATCAACAGGGGATGCTTTCTCCTTCATTGTACCTGATCCTTCCTGGTTAAGTAGTTTATTTTGGTTCTTCTAACAATTTGTAATGTTTAAATGGACTTTTAAGAATATTCACTGGTCGGTGTTTCTCGTTCTTCAATTTAAAATATTTATAATAATTATAATTAGCTCAATATCTTGTTTTTTAAATTGTCTAAGATTAGACTTCTTTTTTTCAATAGACATGACAAACCAAGAAGTGTCCATGCTGCATGAAAGAACTCTCATGCATATGTTTTCCATTACTATGGGAGAAAGTGCAAATTATCATCCCATTTCACATCTCTATCGTAGCAAACCACAACAATATTTTTTGGAATATTCACAACAAAACCAACGGAATTATGCATAAATATATAAAGAATTTTGGTGGAGACCCATCGTCATCATTGAATAGAAAACTCCACGGTCTATTCTTCAGTGCTAATGTGAGTTCCAAAACAGGATTACCCCCAAAAGTATCTTATTACGGAAACCAAAGAATCCACATTCCTGCAAGTTTCATGATAAATTCTAACACGAACCTGTACTTTGCAGACTTTTACTGTCATTACACCAAACATCACGTGACGCTTGTTGTTACTTTGAAAGGTACGGATGCCGACTTATTTTGCCGTAATAGACTGCTTTCTCTCAACTCAAAATTCAATAAATTTCTATTTCGGCGACCCCATGAATCTCATGCTATGGTTAGTACAAAGGTTGTTGTGGAGGTGTTTTACACTGAGAGTATCGATATATACAAATTGTTAAGTGACTGTCTAGCTTTTGAATCATTTGTGCAACAGAAAGGCAATGCTGCTCTTAAAACGTATGTCGGTCTCCCTAAGAGAAAGGATTGTAAAATCTGTAATTTGAAAACAAATGATTTATAACCCGAATTATCATTTTAGGTTTGTTTGGAGGACGGTAAATATTTAGTGGAGAAAAGTTTGTTTTATCTTTATTATAAAGACATTGTTTTATACAAAAAAATCTATAACATAGAAGGATTATAGAAAATGGGCAGCTCCATTAAATCATGTCATTTATTTCTTCACACATGCATCAAAAAACATAGAATGAAAAATAAAATAAATGAATAAAAGATCAGACAAGGCCAGTTTTAGAACTAGAGGCACTGTGAGCAACGAGCTCACTTAATGATACCCCCGCCTCCCATATGAATATAATGGCAGTGTCCATGTTTTGCTACAAGTTTTAACGCTTTTCAAACGGGGGTTATAAAAAGACTAATTGTGTACGTCTAGGACCATTGTCTGTTGTCATTAAAAAGCGAAGTTAGCAAGGATTCTCATTCACCATGCAGTTTATTATACACCCCGCTTGAAAAGTGGGAGGGTATATAGTAATCGGGATGTCTGTCTTTACGTCCGCCCGTTCGTCTGTTACGCTTTGGGGTACCCATCTCTTATCCGCAACTCCTTTCACACCACTGAATAAAATTTGATGAGACTTTCACAAAATCTTGATTACTTATTGCAATTGTGCACCTCCTATTTTGCTTTTTGATCCGACACACATTTTGGGTTTCCCATAGCAAAACATGGACACTGCCATTATATTCATATGAGAGGTGGGTATAATTTAGTGAGCTCATTGCTCTAGTACCTCTAGTTTATTTTGTTTCTTTCATAGGTGAACTCATGAAGAAATGCCTTAAGATAAGGCGGGGTTTCTGTAGTCATTGCTAAAATATTAATAGCAGAGAAGGAAAACCTTCATCAGTCAAAAAAAAAAAAAATGGCGACAATCAGATATGAATACTTAAAAAATTCCAAAGAACTTTTAAAAAATTTGAAATAGTAATTTTTTACCAAAATCAATAACATCAAAGGTTCGACTTTTCTACACTTTATTCAACCATTCTACAATTGACAGCGGGTGATTATGGCAAGCCCTTTAACTATTTATTCGGAAAATAGAATTTATCTTAAAATTACAGAGATATCTCTCATTTTAGAGAGATATCTCGTAAAAAGTAGAGTTATCTCTCATTTTTAAGAGATATCTCCATGAGAAAAAGATATCTCTTAAACTTAGAGAGATATCTTTTACACTTAGAGAGATATATCTTTTTATGATATATCTCTCTTACTTGAACAGATATCTCTTTCTCCTTGAGAGATATCTCTTTCGTGAAAAGAGATATCTCTGAATGTTAAAGAATATCTCTTTCACCTAAAGAGATATCTCTGTAACTTTTGGAGATATCTTTCCAAGTTTAAGAGAAATCTCTTAAAGTAAAACAGATATCTTTCTTAGATATCTCTCAAACTGAAAGAGATATCTTTCAAAAGTGTTTAAAAGAGATATCTCTCAAACAAAAAGAGATATCTCTTTATTGCAACGAGATATCTCTCTTCATTATTTTTATTTAAATTCCATTTGAAATTAATTCTCCCTAAACCGGAAGTAAGCTTTTTATTCGCGGAAGAACAATAAAGTATTATTAAATTTCGACATATGAATGCTATTCTACATTATAGCTTTACTACACATGACAAGTATTTCAGTGTTGTCTATATTTTAGTTAGCAAAGAAAGTTCGGTCTATTGCATTGGGGATTTTATGCTTATACTTTCGTTTTCCTGAATATTAAACTTTTAGCATTTTTATCAACGAAGTTGTCATTATTATTGTTGTTTCATACAAGGGATTTATAGCATTTTTGTCTACATAGTACATATACATGTATTATTCTTGGTATTGCATGCTCAGTCTTTTTTCTTATAACAGCAAAATTATTACAGAGACTTTACTTCCTGTTTCGCTTTCGTTTTAAAGGGGAGAATTAATTATTTTATTTTAAGGATGACTGGAAAAGAGATATCTCTTTCATTAAAAGAGATATCTCTTTAGCTTAGAAAGATATCGCTTTTTGAAAATCTAAAGAGATATCTCTCGAACTAAGAAAGATATCTCTTTTAACCTTGTTTAAGAGATATCTCTCTATTTTTTTTAGAGATATCTCTCTAGCTTATGTTGTCTCTTTTGTTTAAAGAGATATCTCTCTAAGGTATAAAGATATCTCTATAAGTCAAAGAGATATCTCTATAAGCTAAAGAGATATTTCTCTATGCTAGAGAGAGATCTCTCTTATTGAAATAATTTTTTTTACAAAAATAAATAGTAAAAGGGCTTGCCATAGGTGATACCCAGTAATTATAATATACATTCATGTAACATGAATAGGTTGGGCAATGAGGGTTAAATCATAACAGATACAGTGTACTTTTCTTATAAACACGACCACTAGTCTGAAATATAATTTAAGGAAATTCATTAAAAAAATGAAAATATGCAATTTTTTGTCAAAAAACATTAATGTTTAAAATTAGAATACGTCGTTATAGGTAGTTAGACATGCACTGCATTACCCTTTGTCCCATATACTTCATAATGTATACTAGTACAGGGGGAAATATATAAACTTTGAAAAGCGAATATCTTGTTAACCCACTTGCCGGACTATATTTTAAATCAAACACTTTATTCAATGTAGTGCACTTTATATTAATCTATTTAAATGGCCCACTTTCTGTTTGGTAACAGGCATGATTTCTGATAAAAGCTGAAGTGTAAGACCTACATCGTTCATTTTCAAGAAATGAGATACCCTTCAAAATAAATTCCCTCCCTACTTATTTAAAGGAAACATGGTATTTCCTCTAAAGGATGTTCCTTAAATCAATTTAATTAGGATTTGCAACCTGTGATGTCGGTAAGTGTTTTTTGAGAAATTTTAATTGGGAGATTATTTTTCATTGGAAGACTCATCAAGATTTAGTCAAGTTTAAATCAAGTAAAAAAAACATAATAGACTCAAACTTGATGAAATTCAATATCGATATGGAATCTAAACGTCCATGTTTTTAGGACTGTCATCATAAATTTTGAAGGAAAACTGTATGAACTGGAGGAATTCTAAAGAAATATGAGTTAATACTTTACTTGCTTTTTAACTGTGTCTCACAAAATTAAAAAGTATCAAGCATACATTGTTATTTATATCGTATTTATTTTTACTAAACGCTTACGGGGCCAATTTTTGGACAATGGATCATTATAAATTTTACAAAAGCTTGAATATTATCACGATATTCCACCAAAAATTCAATTAAATACGTTTTCTGGCACCATATATACCGCATTTATTGTTTTCCAAATTGTGATGCCTTTCTTTTTAACTACAGCATATATGAAACTGAAAGAAATAGAATAATTTTCTTCCTGTTATCTAAAGCGATAAAAAGTGCATTCAAATTGTTATTCAGAGAGTACAAGGCGAGTAAAATGCCTATAGGGATCGTTCAAATGTATAAAAGATATACTGGTATTCAATTTGTGAATTTAGTATTTATTAAAGTTCTTATCATTGACATGGATATAGTGATATAACAAAAGTATTCACGCTCAAAACATTTCCATTGAACTATTTATATTGGGAGAAGAGCGGACTTTTTAAAACATCAAAGGTAGAAATGGGTGCCATGGAAGGTAAGCTGGTCACACTCCCCGCGTCGGGCAAACGGAAAATATCCTAAGACTATTCAGTGTGAAAATAATTGGCTTACAATTGGTATGAATCAAATATATGGGGATAATGAACACTATTCAAGCTCAAAAGTCAAACAATACGAAATTAGGAAAATAGGAGCAGAGCAAACAAGGACCTCCAAAACATCAGGGGTGGGATCAGGTGCCATGGAGTAGTGAACATCCCCTGACCGGTCACACCCGCTGTGTGCTCCTTGTCATGATTGGGAAATAACGGGGAAAATCCGTAGACAATTTAGTGTGTAAATAATGGCCTAACAATAAGTGAAAAACGACATTCCGCATTTGACTTAAATGATAAATTGTATTTGTTGACAATGCAATAGACCATAGAACTTACGAAATGATGACTTAAAACAAGACTGATGATATTCTTGGATCAGCAACTTGTATGTCATCAACTCGCCTTGATTGCAAAAACAAATGGTCATATAAAGAGCATGCTCTTGCGTATCGATTCAACTGAGAGATATAAAATAACGTATGCAGGTCATGAAAAAATAAGCATGAAAAATGTCAGTCAGTATTTGATATCAATATTTGCATCGTTTTCAATTATCGAGTGAACTGGAAATCATACACCCCAATAGAGGTGATAAGGGGATATTGCTGTATAAGTAAGGTAAATTGAAGACATTAGAAATTAAAGTCATCAAGTTTATCATAAAGGTTTGTTATACTATCATTAGAGTCGGCAGGGGATGCTAACTCCTCCATGGCACCTGATCCCACCCTGATGTTTTGAAGGTCCTTGTTTGCTCTGTTCCTATTTTCGTATTGTTTAATGGACTTTTTAGCTTGAATAGTGTTCATTATCTCCATATATTTTATTCATACCAATTATTAGGCAATTATTTTCACACTGAATAGTATATTTCTATTTAATCAATACACGGAGCTGATTCACATGGGCCTGTGTTATGTTTATTTTAACAATGTGTCTTTCTTGATGTACTTTATTTTATCAAATAAAATATACAACATGGCTATAAATTTTATTTGATAAAATAAAGTTTATCAGGAAAGACAAATGGAAGAATTCGTCTTCCCAATCAATACATAGGGCTCACGGCGAGTGTGACCACTCAACAGGGGAAGATTACCCCTCCTCGAGTTCACCGATTTGTATTTTTGTATGTTGCTTTAGATCGGTCATTGTTCGCAATGTTTGTTAATTTCATAAAACATGCATTTCCTCTCTTTCTGATCTGATCAGATGTTTACTTATTTTTATTTATTTATTTTTGTTGTTGAATATACATTATCTTTGACAAAAAAAAATGTTATTAAGTTAGTATCACTTTAAGGGAATTGCACAGGCTTTTTTATCAATCCGTTTTATTCTAAACACACCAATCATTCTTTTAGTCTGAAGTACATCGGATCGTATTACAAAGTGGACAAGAGGAAAAGAAAACCCTGGATATAAAAAACAGCGATGGGAAAACAATGAGAGACTGGGACACCACAATTCTACTAATCTCAGACAGGTCAACTGAAAATATTTTGTCAATTTTGGCGGGGACAAAAGAAAATCACAATTTACTGGTGGAAGTCCCAGAATCATTCTCCGGAGAAATGAAAAATTATACAGTCCATATATACGGTGTACGGAACAAGGATTCTAAGGTTGTCGCTGAATCCAAAGTTCATCTTGGTAAGGATTCCTTCATTTCGTAAATGTAATTCGCCCTACATCAAAAACTAAAGGTAATTGATTTTACGAGATTTTTAATATAGATCTATATTTAATACTGGTTTGAAAATTATTGCAGGTGGTTCAAGTGAAGACTTTTGAAGGGACTTTATTGGCCTTTTTCACAATTTTTTTAAAGACAAAGACGAACATTTCTTCTTTATCTACAACAAATATCTAAGCAACAAATATCTTATTTCCCTATTACATAATATTGATATTTTATGATTACGCTGAAAATAATTATTAAGAAAAAATATTTTTATTGAATAAATATTACAGGGTGTTGTAATTTTTGTCTTACTCGTAATATTTTTGTGAAAAGGGCCACTGAAGTAGATTTAATTTTCAAAAGAAATATTTCAATTTTTTTGTTCAAAAAAGCTTATTTATACATTTGTAGTATTCATTGTTTAAAAAGCCAAAGGTGACTTTGTTCGTTTTTGAAATAATACTAAAATCTTCATATAAAGTTATTTAAGTTCTTAGTTAAAATAAACCATGCAATTAAATATTAAATGGATGGTAATTACTGTAAATCACTTTTTATTCGCGAGAACTCTATTTTCGCGTATTTACGCGAGACGGTATGCTCGCGAAAATTTCATTCTCGCGTATAAAAGAATTTTTTAAGATTATTTAGAGAAATGAGCACAATTCGTGAAAATTTTGTCTCACTTATAAAGAGTCAATGACAATCTCGCAAAAATAATGTGTCGCGAAAATTAAGTGATCTACAGTATTTGATTCCAAGCTCTCCTGGGACATTTGGATAAATTGGAAATTTAAATAAAACAAAAGTATATAACTAGCTTTATTACCTACTACTACATGTACTCGTGTTCTATTCATACAGATCCTGGACATGATACTAAGAATGAGTCTTCATCGCCTTCAGTGAGTGACTTTAATTTTATAAAATATCTTTAAAAGCTGAAAAAGATAATTAATTTTATCATTTTTGACACACCTATCATTCTAATTTCAGAATGCATTAAATTTTGAATTCAACTTATTACACACTCAGCCGTCAAGCTACTCGCTTCAATTCTCAGATTCAAACATGACACATTTCATCTTTTTGGAAGACCTTGATGCGGATGAGATTTTTTTCCTGTTCCGATAGTACTTATGAATTTCCAATGCCACTGGAACCGATGAAGGATTACCAGCTACGCGTTTATAGAGGAAATGATTTACCTGACGGAAAAAATATTTTTTCTTCCATTGGAAGATCAGACTTCCGAGCTTGTAAGTATTCTGATACATGTATAATTGTTTGATCCAATTAATATGATGATTGAAAACATCAAAGTAATACACTAATGTAGAAAACATTTATTGTACAGAAAATATGAGATATTAATTGCATTGCTACAAAAATAAGTAACAGCTTAATTCATCTCGTTTGCCATAACATTTAGTCTATCGTTAGTAAAAGATCCAAATATGACAAAGATGTGGCATATACGTATATAGCTACTCTTCAAATGGTGTCTTTATTGCAAGTTTAGAGAGATATATTGAGATGACATACAGTATATGCTAGTAAACTGTACATGACTGAAAAAAGCTATTGTTAATTGATAAATCTGAGAGTCAAAATGAAGTTTTTACTCTTCTCATGTTGGTTTTCTTTAAATACAGGTTTTATAGGAATAAAGGTTCCACAATTCAAAGTGTAATTAACAAGTGTTATTTTTTTTTCATTTTAGACATGACTAAGAGAGAGCTTAGATTGCTCTTCGACAGAGGGGCCACATTCCGGGAAGCGTTCTTTGTACCCATTTCTCATCTCTATAGAAACAAACCAAAACTTTACTATGACAACATATTTCATAAGAAAAATGGCATTATTGGTAAATACATGAAGAATGATGGCGGAGACCAGGCTTCCGTTCTAAACCGAGAAATACAGGGTCTATTTTTCAGTGCCTACCTACAATGCCAACCCAGTGGATTCTTCCGTCCACCTTTGACTTGACCCTTTGGAGATACAAGACTTAATATTCCTGTCGCTTTCTTCTTTAATCCCTGTAATAGATTGTATTTTGCTGATTTTTTCTGCCATGATATCAATCATCATGTAACTCTTGTTGTAACAGTACAAGATAGTCAGGCTGATAATTTTTGAAGAGAAAGATTGATTTTATTAGATCCCACTAATAATCCACATCTGTATTTTGATGTCTCTTCTCAAAAATGTTTTGTAAACATGGCAGTTAACACTGAAATATTATATACAGAGAATATTAATGTAGGAAGATTATTTAGAGGAAGACAAGCATTCTTTACAAGTTGTCAGGCAATTGGTGCTTGTAGAAGCAAGTCATTTTTAGGTAGACCTAAAAATGAAAGTTGTGGAATATGCAATTTAAGAGTTAACTAAAATGATATTTTGTGAGGTAATTTAATTTCATTCAATTTATATTTCACTCAGTTGAATATTTTTATAAACACATAAATTACCGGTACTCCTGTATTTTTTGAATTATTTCAGCAACAAATAAATATTTTTTGACATGCATAACTCTTTAACCCCTGTCCCTAGAACCATAGTTTTGACATTTTGAAAAGAGGAATCTTTACTCTTCTGAACAGTTCACCAATTTTATCAGCTTTTGATACATGGAAAATAACTTTTTTTTTGTTTACTGATTTCTAAAAAAAAATTCATATGACGCACATTAGGTTTTGTAAGATCTACTAAAATTCAGATGACGACAAATTCGGCCTGTATGATTTTCTTAAATCGACAAGTGTGGCATCTACAGGATTAAATTCTGAAACCTTTCAGAACAGAACAATAAGAAAAGTACTGTTGACACATTTAATGCATACACAAGAATAAAAAGCAGTAACAACATACTGTAAATAAATAAAAACAAAATTTGTTCAATTTATATTGCACCTAAAACCCTGCTTCTGCATCTAATAATGCCAGTCTTACATATAATTTTAGAAAGACAGTTATATTTACTGATATCTTTGAATTTTGATGTACATAACTTTGTTTCTTACACCATTATTTGAAAAAAAATGAAATATTTCACTGAGCCTTCTTCTAATAATCCAGGCCATACAATTTGTACAATATGCCTTCCTGGACATGTTAAAATAATGGTTTAGTATTGGTTATCCTACATTTAAAAAAAAAACAAACCATAGGACATTATAACCATGTTTATCAAGTATCAAGTAAGGCAAATTTGAGACAAATACTAAGTTAAAAGAGTTAACGGTGAGAATGGTAAAAAGCATTTATGGGTGAAGGGGAACAAAAATTGTGAATTTCATGATCCCTGCCCCCTGGGGCCTGAGGGGTGGGGCAAAAACCACTAAAATTAATGCAATCTTTAAAAATATTCTTCTTTACTCCTGGACATCAAGCAGTCAAACTGTTTGCATGATTGTAATCAGCAATGAGTCCTCTACCAAAATTGTGAAATTCATTGCCATGGGGTCAGGGGTTCTAGTGCTAGGGCGGGGCTAAATAAGTAGGTAGTGAAAATGCATTATTTCTTTGAAAATCTTCTTCCCTGCTCCTGGGTATTAAATAAACCAACTAAGTACATAGTTATGATGAGCAAAAGTGCCTCTGCCAAAATTGTGAATTTTATGGCACCGGGGTCAGGGGTTCTGGTGTTAGGGTGGGGGTCTATTGCGTTATTTGAAAATCTTCTTCTCTGGTCCTAGGTATTAAATAAACTAACTAAGTGCATAGTTATGATAAGCAAGAGTGCATCTACCGAAATTGTTAATTTTTTGGCCCCGGGGTCAGGGGTTCTGGTGTTAGGGTGGGACTCTATTGATTATATAGTGAAAATACATGAATTCTTTGAAAATCTTCTTCTCTGCTCCTAGGAATTAAATAAACTAACTAAGTACATAGTTATGATGAACAAGAATGCCCTTCCAAAATTGTGAATTTTATAGCCCCAGAGTCAGGAGTTCTGGTGTTAGGGTGGGGCTCTATTTATTATATAGTGAAAATACATAAAATCTTTGAAATTTCTTATCTGCTCCAGGGTATTTAGCAGATGAACTACCTATATAGTTATGATGGACAAGGGCCCTAATCTTCCAGAATTGTGAAGTTCAAGGCCCCAGGGTCAGGGGTACCATAGAGGGGGGGGGCTGTACTTATATACTGAAAATGAATGAATGGTTTGAAATCTGCTCCTTGGTATTAATCAAATATCAAGGCCTAAGGGTCATAGTTTCATGTGTGGTAGGGGCACTACTGCCTAATTAATTACTTAATTATTGCTGAATATTACTGATTAGTTGAAATGCATTTTTTGTTCCCCTACCCTGCGTATGGGTTTTAAGTAAACAAACTAAGCAACTGCTAAGTGTATTGTTATGATCAATGGTGCCTCTTTCAAAATTGTGAATGCCATCTTCTATAGAAAAATTAACTGAGAAAAAATGAGAATAAGAACAAATAAGACAACATAAATTAATGGGAAATGTGATAAGGTCTAGAGTCAGATGGATCAGTGATGGCGAAAAACCAACAAATTATTTTCTAAATCTTGAGAATAGAAATTTTACAAACAAAGTAATTCCTAAACTTATTAAAACAGAAAACAATGAACAAGTGGAGATAACAGAACAAGGTAAAATTCTCTTAGAAGTGGAAAATTTTTATAAAACATTATACATGCCTCAAGAAGAGGATCATAATTTAAATCTTAGAGAGTCTTTAGAAGAGTATAATGTCCCAAAGTTAAATGAACATGAAAGTTTTCTATTAGAAGGAAAGATTTCTTATAGAGAGGCATCAAATGTGTTAAAACAAATGTCTAATAATAAAAGCCCGGGTAGTGATGGATTTACTGCAGAATTTTTTAAAGTATTTTGGAAAAATCTGGGTCATTTTATTGTTCGATCATTAAACTTTGGTTATGAAAATGGGGAACGCTCCTCCACACAAAAACAGGGAATAATTACATGTATACCCAAAGAGGGCAAAAGTAAATTTCAGCTTAGTAACTGGAGACCAATATCATTGTTGAATGTGATTTATAAAATTGGATCAGGTTGTATAGCACAAAGAATAAAACAAGTTTTACCTAAAATAATAAGTTCAGATCAGACAGGATTCATACCTGGGAGATATATTGGAGAAAATACACGGCTTATATACGATCTGATGGATTATACTGAATTAAAGCAAATCCCTGGAATGTTAGTTATGATAGACTTTGAAAAAGCTTTTGACACAGTGTCATGGAAATTTATAGAAAAAACCCTAAATTTTTTCAATTTTGGACAATCTTTTTGTAAATGGATAAAAACTTTTCAATGTAATTCAAATTCATGTGTGACCCAGGCTGGTTTTTTATCCAACTTTTTCAAATTAGGACGCGGCTGTCGACAAGGGGACCCAGTATCACCATATATATTTCTCCTTTGCGCAGAGATATTATCAATAAAGATTAAAAACAATAAAGACATTAAAGGAATTGAAATAGGAAATACTGAATTTTTAATGTCACAGTATGCTGATGACACAATGATAATTTTAGATGGGTCAGAAAAATCACTTCAGGCTTTAATAAAGGAAATAACAGAATTTTATAATATGTCAGGACTAAGGATAAATCGGTCAAAAACCCAAGTGATATGGATAGGTAGTAAGAAATATTCTAATGACAGAGTTTGCCCAGAGATGGAATTTATCTGGACAACCAATTTTAAACTTCTTGGAATTTATTATGATGTAGATCTTGCAAAGATTACTAGATTAAATTATGACAAAAAACTTGTTAAAATCAAATCAATTATAGATCAGTGGAATAAAAGAAACTTAACACCAATTGGGAGGATAACTCTAATCAAATCACTTCTTGTATCTCAACTTAACCATTTATTTATAACCTTACCAACCCCACAAATTAAGTTTCTGAAAAACTTGAGCAATATACTTTTCAATTTTCTATGGAAATCAAATGTTGATAAAATTAAAAGAAATGTTGTTACACAGCAATATAAACATGGTGGTTTAAAAATGATTGATATTGGCTGTTATATAAAAGCTTTGAAATCAACATGGATAAGGAGAATTATTAATGACAAAAACTCCAAATGGAAAATTTTGCTTGAAAATATAATTGATACTAACAAACTAATAAATACAGGATCAGTATGTTTATCAAACTTTAATAAGTGTTTACACAATCAGTTTTGGAAGGATACTTTCAATGCTTTTCGGGAAATCCAAGATAATTCTGAAATTACAGACTGGAATGAATATGTTAACCAACCTTTATGGTTGAATAAAAATTTTAAAATTGGAAAACAATCTGTCTTTTATAAATTGTGGTATGAAAATGGTATTACTCATGTGTTAGATCTACTAGATGAACATAACAATTTTCTATCATTAGAGGATCTACAAAATAAATTTAAAATTAAAATAAATTATGTGACATACAATGGCATAAGACAGACAATACTAGAAGACTTAAAGAAATACAATTTTTATAGAAATGGATTAATGCAAAGACCAATGATTCCTTTTAATATCAAAATATTTATCAATACCAGGAAAGGATCAAAAACTATGTATGATATTTTAAATAAGCCAGTTATCAAACCTTCTGGTAAAAATAAGTGGGCTAGATATTTTGAAATAAATGATATACAATGGAAAACAATTTATAATCTTCCATTCCTCGTGACACGGGATTGTAAATTACAATGGTTTCAATACAGAGTTAATCATCATATTCTAACTACAAATAGTCTCATGTATAAAATAGGTAAATCCGACACTAAGTATTGTACTTTTTGTGAAGATGAAGAGGAAACAATTTATCATTTAATCTGGGAATGTAATGTTGTTCAGCAATTCTTAAAAAAATTCATACGTTTATGTCAAGCCAAAGACATTGAATTGAATCTCAATGCAAAATCATTTATTTTTGGTGAAAAAGATAAAAATGAAAATTCAGAATACTTCAACACTATGTTGATATTAATGAAGCATTATATTTATAAAGTTCGTTGTCAGAATACCTGTCCATCTATCCAAGGTCTTTTAAATTTATTTAATTCATATTTTAAAACTTTAAAACACACTATAATAGAGGATAAAAAACTGACAGATTTTAATACTTTCTGGCAGAAATGGGTTGTTATACTTTAATTAATTTACCTTCTTTGTAATTATTATTATCAGTTCTTTTTTCAATTTTTTAAATATTAATTATTAGAAAATCCCTCAAAACTGCACTGCACTAGTCTTTCTTTAGCTTCCCCCTTTTTCTTTCTTTCTTTCTTTTTTTTCTTAATTTCATATGGTAAGCTTAAAGAAAACTGATTATGTTTTAGGGCACAATATGTAATGCTTACCTGCCTCTCTCCCCTCCCCCCTCTCTCTCTCTCTCTCTCTCTTTATAAACTTTTACACTAAGTTTGTATGTTCCAACCATAATTAGTCTTGTTTGATTTTGATTGTACATATATCCATACAGAAGTTTGTATTGTTTGTAATATGTGTGAAAGTTTCAATAATAATAATAAAAAAAAAAAAAAAAAAAAAAAAAAAAAAAAAAATTGTGAATGCCATAGCATCTGGCTTAAAACAAATTCATTCAGTGGTAAGTTGTTGCATAATGCTCAGGTGACCTGTAAGGCACATGGGCCACTTGTTATATATAAGAGCAGTTGCGGATAAGAGGTGGATACCCCAAAGTGTAACAGACGGACGGACGGACATCCCGATCAATATATACCCTCCCGCTTTTCAAGCGGAAGATATAATAATATATAATACTGCTGACTTTTCCTGTCAGTACGATGATTTCCACCATCGAAAAACAATGTTTACCTAACCCTTTAGGCTCGATAAATCTTTTACTCCTTTAGATTCTGAATCATCGCATTGACCTTAAAATATAGCTATAATTGTAAAATGTTATGAGATCAACATATCATCCATTTATTCCCAATTAGCTCAGGTGAGCATTTTGGCCAATATGCTTCTTTATCTAATTTTTTTTTGCTCCCTAAAAATTTCAGCTTTAATGGTTCTGCAAATTATGGAGGTGGTGACACTTTTTCTACGGGCAAAAGGGTCATTTTTCGACATCGAATAATGACCGGGGGTCATTTTTCGCTGTCGAAAAATAACCCTCGGACATTATTCGATTGGGGTCATTATTCGTCTTTACACCGGACTATATTTTAAATCAAACACTTTTTTCAATGTAGTGCACTTTATATTAATCTATTTAAAGGGTCTACTTTCTGTTTGGTAACAGGCATGATTTCTGATAAAAGCTGAAGTGTAAGACCTACATCGTTCATTTTCAAGAAATGGGATACCCTTCAAAATAAATTCCCTCCCTACTTATTTAAAGGAAACATGGTATTTCCTCTAAAGGATGTTCCTTAAATCAATTTAATTAGGATTTGCAACCTGTGATGTCGGTGAGTGTTTTTTGAGAAATTTTAATTGGGAGATTATTTTTCATTTGAAGACTCATCAAGATTTAGTCAAGTTTAAATCAAGTAAAAAAAACATAATAGACTCAAACTTGATGAAATTCAATATCGATATGGAATCTAAACGTCCATGTTTTTAGGACTGTCATCATATATTTTGAAGGAAAACTGTATGAACTGGAGGAATTCTAAAGAAATATGAGTTGATACTTTACTTGCTTTTTAACTGTGTCTCACAAAATTAAAAAGTATCAAGCATACATTGTTATTTATATCGTATTTATTTTTACGAAACGCTTACGGGGCCAATTTTTGGACAATGGATCATTATAAATTTTACAAAAGCTTGAATATTATCACGATATTCCACCAAAAATTCAATTAAATACGTTTTCTGGCACCATATATACCGCATTTATTGTTTTCCAAATTGTGACGCCTAATTTATTTTTAACTACAGCATATATGAAACTGAAAGAAATAGAATAATTTTCTTCCTGTTATCTAAAGCGATAAAAAGTGCATTCAAATTGTTATTCAGAGGGTACAAGGCGAGTAAAATGCCTATAGGGATCGTTCAAATGTATAAAAGATATACTGGTATTCAATTTGTGAATTTGGTATTTATTAAAGTTCTTATCATTGACATGGATATAGTGATATAACAAAAGTATTCACGCTCAAAACATTTCCATTGAACTATCTATATTGGGAGAAGAGCGGACTTTTTAAAACATCAAAGGTAGAAATGGGTGCCATGGTCGGTAAGCTGGTCACTCTCCCCGTGAGCTCTTAGTCATGATCGGGAGAACGGACAATATCCTAAGACTATTCAGTGTGAAAATAATTGGCTTACAACTAGTATGAATAAAATATATGGGGATAATGAATACTATTCAAGCTCAAAAGTCAAACAATACGAAATTAGAAAAAAAGGGGCAGAGCAAACAAGGACCTCCAAAACATCAGGGTCGGGATCAGGTACTATAGAGGAGTGAACATCCCCTGACCGGTCACACCCGCCGTGTGCTCCTTGTCATGATTGGGAAATAACGGGGAAAATCCGTAGATAATTTAGTGTGTAAATAATGGCCTAACAATAAGCATGAAGAACGGCATTTGACTTAAATTAAATGATAAATTGTATTTGCTGACAATGCAATAGACCATAGAACTTACGAAATGATGACTTAAAACAAGACTGATGATATTCTTGGATCAGCAACTTGTATGTCATTAACTCACCTTGTTTGAAAAAAAATTGGTCATATAAAGAGCATGCTCTTGCGTATCGATTTAACTGAGAGATATAAAATCACGTATGCAGGTGATGAAAAAATAAGCATGAAAAATGTCAGTCCGTATTTGATATCAATATTTGCATCGTTTTCAACTATCGAGTCACTTTTTAGCTTGAATAGTGTTCATTATCTCCATATATTTTATTCATACCAATTATTAGGCAATTATTTTCACACCGAATAGTATATTTCTATTTAATCAATACACGGAGCTGATTCACATGGGCCTGTGTTATGTTTATTTTAACAATGTGTCTTTCTTGATGTACTTTATTTTATCAAATAAAATATACAACATGGCTATAAATTTTATTTGATAAAATAAAGTTTATCAGGAAAGACAAATGGAAGAATTCGTCTTCCCGATCAATACATAGGGCTCACGGCGAGTGTGACCACTCAACAGGGGAAGATTACCCCTCCTCGAGTTCACCGATTTGTATTTTTGTATGTTGCTTTAGATCGGTCATTGTTCGCAATGTTTGTTAATTTCATAAAACATGCATTTCCTCTCTTTCTGATCTGATCAGATGTTTACTTATTTTTATTTATTTATTTTTGTTGTTGAATATACATTATCTTTGACAAAAAAAAAAATTAAAAGTTAGTATTACTTTAAGAGAATTGCACAGGCTTTTTTTCGTTCCGTTTTATTCTAAACACACCAATCATTCTTTTAGTCTGAAGTACATCGGATCGTATTACAAAGTGGACAAGAGGAAAAGAAAACCCTGGATATAAAAAACAGCGATGGGAAAACAATGAGAGACTGGGACACCACAATTCTACTAATCTCAGACAGGTCAACTGAAAATATTTTGTCAATTTTGGCAGGGACAAAAGAAAATCACAATTTACTGGTGGAAGTCCCAGAATCATTCTCCGGAGAAATGAAAAATTATACAGTCCATATATACGGTGTACGGAACAAGGATTCTAAGGTTGTCGCTGAATCCAAAGTTCATCTTGGTAAGGATTCCTTCATTTCGTAAATGTAATACTGTTTTGAAAATTATTTCAGGTGGTTCAAGTGAAGACTTTTGAAGGGACGTTATTGGCCTTTTTTACATTTTTTTAAGACAAAGACCAACATTTCTTTTTTATTTACAAAAAATATCTTAGCAACAAATATCTTATTTCCCTATTACATTATATTGATATTTTATGATTACGCTGAAATAATTATTAAGAAAAAATATTTTTATTAAATAAATATTACAGGGTGCTGTAATTTTTGTCTGACTCGTAATATTTTTGTGAAAAGGGCCACTGAAGTAGATTCAATTTTCCAAAGAAATATTTCAATTTTTTGTTCAAAAAAGCTTATTTATAGTATTCATTGTTTTAAAAGCTAAAGGTGACTTTGTTCGTTTTTGAAATAATACTAAAATCTTCATATAAAGTTATTCAAGTTCTTAATGCAATTTTAAATATTAAATGGATGGTAATTATTTGATTCCAAGCTCTCCTGGGACATTTGGATAAATTGGAAATTTAAATAAATCAAAAGTATATAACTAGCTTTATTACCTACTACTCGTGTTCTATTCATACAGATCCTGGACATGATACTAAGCATGAGTCTACATCGCCTTCAGTGAGTGACTTTAGTTTTATAAAATATCTTTAAAATCTGAAAAAGATAATTAATTTTATCATTTTTGACACACCTATCATTCTAATTTCAGAATGCATTAAATTTTGAATTCAACTTATTACACACTCCGCCGTCAAGCTACTCGCTTCAATTCTCAGATTCAAACATGACACATTTCATCTTTTTGGAAGACCTTGATGCGGATGAGAATTTTTTCTTTTCCTGTTCCGATAGTACTTATGAATTTCCAATGCCACTGGAACCGATGAAGGATTACCAGCTACGCGTTTATAGAGGAAATGATTTACCTGACGGAAAATATATTTTTTCTTCCATTGGAAGATTAGACTTCCGAGCTTGTGAGTATTCTGATGCATGTATTATTGTTTGATCTAATTAATATGATGATTAAAAATATCAAAGTAATACACTAATGTAGAAAACATTTATTGTACAGAAAATATGAGATATTTATTGCATTACTACAAATATAAGTAAAAGCTTAATTCATCTCGTTTGCCATAACATTTAGTCTATCGTTAGTAAAAGATCCAAATATGACAAAGATGTGTCATATATACTGTACAGCTACTCTTCAAATGGTGTCTTTATTGCAAGTTTAGAGAGATATATTGAGACGACATACAGTATATGCTAGTGAACTGTATATGACTGAAAAAAGCTATTGTTAATTGATAAATCTGAGAGTCAAAGTGAAGTTAATTTTTACTCTTCTCATGTTGGTTTTCTTTAAATACAGGTTTTATATGAATAAAGCTTCCACAATTCAAAGTGTAATTAACAAGTGTTATTTTTTTCCATTTTAGATATGACTAAGAGAGAGCTAAGATTGCTCTGCGACAGAGGGGCCACATTCCGGGAAGCGTTCTTTGTACCCATTTCTCATCTCTATAGAAACAAACCAAGGCTTTACTATGACAACATATTTCAAAGGAAAAATGGCATTATGGGTAAATACATGAAGAATGATGGCGGAGACCAGGCTTCCGTTCTAAACCGAGCAATACAGGGTCTATTTTTCAGTGCCTACCTACAATGTCAACCCAGTGGATTCTTCCTTCCACCTTTGACTTCACCCTTTGGAGATACAAGACTTAATATTCCTTTCGCTTTCTTCTTTAATCCCTGTAATAGATTGTATTTTGCTGATTTTTTCTGCCATGATATCAATCATCATGTAACTCTTGTTGTAACAGTACAAGATAGTCAGGCTGATAATTTTTGTAGAGAAAGATTGATTTTATTAGATCCCACTAATAATCCATTTCTGTATTTTGATGTCTCTTCACAAAAATGTTTTGTAAACATGGCAGTTAACACTGAAATATTATATACAGAGAATATTAATGTAGGAAGATTATTAAGAGAAAGACAAGCATTCTTGACAAGTTGTCAGGCAATCGGTGCTTCTAGAAGCAAGTCATTTTTAGGTAGACCTAAAAATGAAAGTTGTGGAATATGCAATTTAAGAGTTAACTAAAATGATATTTTGTGATGTAATTTAATTTCATTCAATGTATATTTCACTGGGCGCACTTGTTTCATACGCCGGGTCAAGCCGGTTAATATTCCGGAAGCGGGCAAGTCACTTGTTTCAAATATTTTTAAGCCGCCGGGCGGTCAGAAAGTAGCCTGGACCGCCCGAAAAATTTCGAGCGGCCAAATGAAAAGCATTATGAATGAAAACAGAGGTAGAAATGTTGATGGTGAAATTTTCGTTTTTTATCATTTGCCGTAGTCTCAGTGTCAATAAACATACAGTGCTGAGATACTAAGTGACTTTTACAACATATTTTTTTATATTTGCACGACCAACATTTTTTCTTTTTAAATTTTAAAGCTGCTTTTCAGTTTTGTGTGTAACGAGGCCCTATATGCTCCAAATTCACAGATTGTACATTGAATGGGTCTAGTAAATATTAAAAAGAAATATATCCACTAAATCATTGTCCTCGTGCGTTCAGAGAAATTTTTTAAAACAACAGCACCAATGCCAGCAACTTCCGGGTTATTTTTCGCTCGTTTCAGCGACACTTACATGTACCGGGTTAATATGTCATGTGATAAAAGTGAACCGGGTCATCGCCCGGCTATCTGAAACAAGTTCGCCCACTAGTCAGTTGAATATTTTTTTAAACACATGAATTACCGGTACTCCTTTATTTTTTGAATTATTTCAGCAACAAATAAATATTTTTTGACATGCATATAATATTGTATAACTCTTTAACCCCTGTCCCTAGAACCAAAATTTTGACATTTTGAAAAGAGGAATCTTTACTCTTCTGAACAGTTCACCAATTTTATCAGCTTTTGATACATGGGAAATGTTTACTGATTTCTAAAGAAAAAATTCATATGACGCACATTAGGCTTTGTATGATTTACTAAAATTGAGATTATGGCAAATTCGGCCTGTATGATTATCAGAACTTGTTTCTCTTAAATCCACAAGTGTGGCATCTACAGGATTAAAATCTGAAACCTTTCAGAACAGAACAATAAGAAAAGTACTGTTGACACATTTAATGCATACATAAATATATAAAGCAGTAACAACATACTGTAAATAAATAAAAACAAAATTTGTTCAATGTATATTGCACCTAAAACCCTGCTTCTGCATCTAATAATGCCAGTCTTACATATAATTTTAGAAAGACAGTTATATTTACTGATATCTTGAACTTTGATGAACATAACTTTGTTTCTTACACCATAAGAAAAGCATTAAGTTTTGCATTACATTGTAATGATATAAGGTTTGTCCAATTTTTTTTAACACAAAATAATCATGGAACACAAGAGGTAGAAATAATTCACTGGCTCAGAAGTTTATAGATTGTACTTGGCATTATTTATCAAAAGCACCTTTCATCACTTTTTTTCCTTTGTGCTTCAATTATTTACTAATTCATGTAACAGAATTGAAAAAAATGAAATATTTCACTGAGCCTTCTTCTAACAATTCCGGCCATACAATTTGTTAGAATAATTGTTTAGTATTGGTTATCCTATATTTCAGAATAAAACAGATGATATGACATTATTACCATGTAGATCAAGTATTATGTCAGCAAGGATACACATTCTTATTTAACATTGACGCATATATATATGTTTCATAGTTTGTATAAAATTCACATTATACATGTACACGTACTTATTTTGTTAAATGAGTTATTCAGATTAGTGTATATTGTACAACTAATTCCACTTTATATTTATATCTCTGAAGTACATGTTTTGATATTTTCCTCAAATAATCAATATCTGTGAAAGTCATTCAACAACCATTTTCAATATTCCATTGTTTTTTTTTCAAGGGAGATAAGTATTCACCTACTTTTTTGCATTCAAACATTTTTTTCTCAGGAGAAGTAGACACAAATAATATTCAAAACAAATTCAGGATACCATATAAGGCAAATTTTGAGACAAATCCAAAGTTAAAAATAGTTAATGGTGAGAATGATAAGGCAAAAATAGTGATTTATTAATTTAGAGGCAACCCTTATAGAAATTTCATTTTCTTTAATAAGCAGGGGTCTTGAAAGAACGTCACTAGATGTAAATAAAAGTGATAAATATGCATATGTATTCATTTTTAAAAAATGTATTTTTTTCTATTTGTTAAAAAACCTACTTACTAAATGCCTTCAAATACAACGCAAATAACAAACTAAGTGTATAATCTTAAAAAAGCAGGGAATTGTTTGTAAATCTATGCCATAACACTGCTCAAAAAGCAACATTACAACACCTATACGCATCTTTCTCTCTAATAATTTGTTAATTAGAAATGCTAATTAGACTGGTCACTAGAACGTTCCTCCTATGCTGAGGACGTCGAAGCATATTTCACACACTCGTACAGGCTTAGATAGATTGTACTTAACAATAGGCATGTCTTTAGAAGAACACTTTGAACACAGAAGTCGTCCGCAGTGACGGCTGAAAGTTACAAAAAAAAAATGTTTCAATGCTAGATTATTTATTGTTGATTTTCAAATGATTGTCAATGTTGAGTACGTACCAATGGTGTTTCCTCGTTTTGATCCCAAATTTGACCCCACACTCCAAACAGATATCCCCCTCTGACCACGCAGGCTCAGAAGACAACATATCTATACACAGAGGAAAGAAAATCTGACTTCTTATAAAATTCTACTTCCAAATCATCTTCAGTTAAAATTTAAATTAAGGTCTAGAAACATTCTTTTATGTAAAATATTTCCCAAAACATCTTAAACTGAAATTATTAAGATTTTCTTATGTCCAATAAATGTTAAGCCAGAGGTCAATACCTAGTAATTTAAATAGTAGTTGTTTGGTGGCTACAGGAGCGTTGAAGATGCTGATCCCCTGTTTGTTCATTGATCCAAGTCTGGCGCCGGCTCTCACCAGGCTCCGACAGAGGTTCCCGTTACCGTTCATGTACGCCAGAAGCAAAACTGAAAAATACATAGGTTGAACAGAATCATGACATCAATTAACAAAGAATACAATGAGAAGCTTCAATGATGTGAGAGTTGTTTTTTCAAGCAAAGCTTCATTGATACTGAAATAATGCAAAAAAAATGGACAAATACATGGGAGTAGCTGTAGAATAACTCCTAACAGTGTAGTACTTATCAAGACTTAGTACATTGATATGAAAAGTAGACTTGTTTTACCAGTATTGCCTTCAGCATCAGGAATGTCCAGTGGATAGTCAGGCATGGTCTCTCTAAACAGTTCAAACATGGCTGCTGCATTTTCCTTCCCATACTGGCCAAGGGTATGGAGTGGAGTCTGACCCCTGAATCAAATTATTTAAAAATTGTTATAGGATTACAAAAATAGAAATGAAGAAAAATCTGTGTAGAAATACCTTTGAATTGTTTGTCTTGCATGTAAAAAAATTGTCCAAAATTTGAAGTTTTTGGTATGCAGGAAATTATAACAAATTTCTTACTTTGCATTCACAGCCTCTGCATTGATTCGAGATTCTGTCAGTAAAACCCTCACAGTGTTAATATTCCCATACATAGTGGCCACATGAAGAGCTAAAAACAAAGTATAAATACCTCTACTGCACGTAAATAATACATCAAAATAATTAATGCTCAACCTTGATCTCAAAAGGAAGACTTAATTATGATGAAATTTTTTTTTTTTAAATCTGACCATTTCTGTGATTTTCATCCACAGCATCGTAATCTATTTTATTGCTTAGCAAAATTGAACAGATTGCAGCATGGTCCTTCTCTGCTGCTAAATGTAGAGAGGTTTCATCCTGCCTGGTTCTAGCATTTATATCTGCTCCCGCTAATAACTAAAATAAAGTATAACATGAACTTAACAATAAACATCTCATCTCAAAGTGACTATATGTACCAATTTGTCCTTGATGATATATCTTTATTTATTGTGCAGAAATGTTTGACAGCCTCTCAATGTAAGGAAATTACATAGATATACATGTACATGTAGTTATAGAAATTAATGTAAGAAATTACCAAATTCCTGACGATCATCTCAGAGCCTGCCATGACGGCGAGGTGGAGAGGCATTAGTTTCTTTGAGTCTTGAGTGGGGGAGTTAACATTGGCCTGTACACTCATCAGGAATAACACACTCTCTATATCACTCTTCTGTATAGCTGTATGGAGGAAGTTGTAACCTTTGTTATCAACCTACAAAATAAAAACACATGCATATTAATTTAAGAAAATGTTTAGGAATACATTGGACAAAAAGTTTATGAAAGTATCACCAAGTCTGTTACAAAATATACAAGTGTAACAGGAAAAATGAAAATGCATAGTTGGATTGGGAGTTGGACAAGAGAACCCCTGCATCACTAGTCAGGTGCTCTACCAACCGAGCTACCTAGGCCAAATCCACAGCCTCAAACAATTACACAAGCTTTAGTGACTGCTAGTGTTTTGAAGTAGTTTATCAGAAGTAACAAGTTAAGTACATCCAGTTCTTGTGTTTTACCTGTTCTGCAGCATTGGGTTCTCTGTTCAGGATAGCCTGAGCTGCCTTGTTGTTTTTGGTTGTCATGGCAGCTGCAAAGGGAGTTAATCCTGATCTGTCTCTAACAGTCAGATCCAGTCCTGGGTGGGCCAGTAAAAGGGAGATAATCACAGTATGCTGGTTTTCTATTGCTATGTGGATTGGGGTCTTTCCCTCTGCATCCTGCAAAATTTTCAAAGAGAAAAATTACATTTTAACTATTTTAAAAATATGTACATGTAGTAAAGTAGAACCATGCTTATATTTTAAAGGAGGAGGTAGAAAGGTCAGTGTTCAAAAGCAACAAAAATTTTAAAGGTTTATGGGATCATACTTTCTGGGTAATTGTAAAGAATATATGGATATGGAATATTATACAATGTGAAACTTATTGTTTGTGGGGACGTACCAGGTAAATTCATAGAGAAGGGTGCCCAATGGAATCCAAGAACAGTGTTCCCTATGAACAGCAATAATTTCACAGTAATCATCAAAATGATTTTGAACATATCAAAATTATACATGATTATTACGTTTCCTGTTTATATCTTTTTGGGGTGAAGGTTGGGTGGGTGGGTATATTTCAGATACAAATGTATTGATTGTTTATAGTTATACTAAGATGAAATACATACCTTGGTATTGACATTTGCATTATGTTCCATCAGACACTGGACCACAAGTTCTAGACCCCAGGTACAGGCCAGGTGTAGTGGGGAGCATCCATCCCTATCAATGACAAAAGAACTTATTTTTGACAAAGAGTTCTCAAGGTTGTCTTGCATCTGAATCAATACTTCTTTTTCAGACAAGGTTTTCTAGTACTAATTGATATCTGGTTGGTAATTACATTCATAATATCTTGGATTCAAAAATGTCTTCCTTTTTTGAAATGTTCGAAAAGGTTGAAAGTTAAGACTTCTCAAACATACATTTTCATGAAATTGCATTGAAATTTACACCAACAAATCCTAAAGGCAAAAACATTACTTTATGTAAAAATTGCTTCTTTCATGCAATATGTATAACTCAATATATCAATTGTCATCCAGACAAATGAATAAGTAACGTGTTTAACATTGATACTTCTCTACAAACCTTGCTTCGTCCTCTCCTTCTCCATTTAATCCTGGCCGCCGAGGACTGTTCTTATCACAGCCACTGGGAAAAGAAATCAATAACTTCTAGTACATGTGCAAATAAAATTCGGCATAAAAAATACTATCCATATACTTTAGGAAAACTAATGAAGATGAAAAAAAAAAAATTGACATAATATATAAAAATAAATTCCAGTACAGAATACAGACAAATTCGAAATTTCTCATACTTTTTAATGAGAAAGCAGGCAATGGATTCATTGTTCTCATCAATAGCCCTGTGGAGTAGAGTCTGTTGACACTTCCCTGGACCTTCAGACCAAAGGTCAACATCACAGCCATGCTTAACCTACAAAAACCATAACAACAGATATATAAGGGGAATCAAACAATTATACCGACATTATTATTATACTCCCTGCTTTAAAAGTAATCAGTATGTCCATCCGTCTGTCTGTCCATCCATCTTTTACGCTTTGGGGTACCCATCTCTTATCCGAAACTTCACTCATACCACTGAAGGAAATTTAATGAAACTTTCACAGAATCTTTATTACATATTGCCATTGTGCACCTCCTATTTTACTTTTTGATCTGACATATATTTTCTAGAGCAAAACATGGATACTGCCATTATATTCATATGGGAGGCGGGGGATATTATTTAGTGAGCTCATTGCTCACAGGACCTCTAGTTTTTTAAATGTAGAGATGTCCTTCGATTTTACTAAGAAGTACAATGTAACTAGAGTTTATTGTTAGAACCTGCAGCATCAATTTTAAGGGGAAGAAGGACCTTTAGCTGAAAAAATATCTGTTGTTCAATTTTTTTAATATTTTGTATATCCCTAATTTAGTATGTCCCACATACATTAAAGCAGATATATCAATAGGTTTCTAGACTTATTTTTGAGATATTGAGTGACAAATACTATACCCCACAGTGTATGAGTGAATGTTTGATTCTCCTTGTTTTTGGGCCCATCACTTGGTCCATAATGGAATTTTTTAAACATAATAAAAAATATGGCAGCGAACATGTGTCTTTTAAAATATTTCAGAGTATGAATAGGGTTAAAAATTCGAAAAAGCAAGATTCTTTTGTCATACCACATCTGGAGACAGAAATTTACGTACTTTTTAAGACAACTTAAACAATAAAAAATTAATTTGCAAAAAATCCTATCATTCAATATTTGAAAATTTATGTTGAAGTGCAAATTCGTCATGTTATTGATTAACTGTAAAAATATCAATTGGTGAAGCTGAGCTCAATATTGCACGGGGCATAGTTAAACGAGACATGATCATGAGAAAAACGTGTCATGTTTACATTTCTCGAGTACGGGAAAACCCAACTATGACGTCACACATTTCTGAAATAAGCTAATTAAGACATACCCACAGAACATTTCCGTCAACAACCATGTAAAAATATTTTTGGCGTTCTGCAATTCATAAAATACCCCATCAAGTACAGATCATGACCCGTTTTTATGATTCTATACTACCCGTTTTTACCGTGTATGATCTTACTGTACTAAGAGATCCACTATGAGTCAACGACGCGCTGGACGCGCAGTGTAGGGAGACAGAAAAGGGGAACAATCTATTCCGTAATTTTATAATATTTGCAGGAAATTTTAAATGTTTTCAGATATTCTTATATACTAGATGGTGAACGCAAACAAACTGTTAAAAAAATAATACAAGTACTGTGCTTTCAATCTTGTTTTGTACATATTTTATCAGAGATTATGACGTAATTAAATCGAACATGTGACCATACATCCTTCCTCCCCTTAAGGGACACCTAAAGCAAGCCCTGTTTTAGTACTCACCAGAACTTGGGCCACATCCTCCTGGCCTGAGTCCAGAGCCTGCCACAGAGGACAATCCCCTTCTTTATTCTTTATATTTAGGTTAGCTCCCTTTTTACTGAGAACGTCAACAACTACAGGCAGGTGGCGCCTTATAGCATGCTGCAGTGGCGTCTCAAATTCATTGGTTCTGTGTATAATACAAAACAATTTAAGCATTAATATTTTTTCAGTATGTGTTTTAAATATAGAATGATTGTATAGATAATATTTTCTTGCATAAATAATAACCAATGAAATTCTCATATGTATTCAAATCTTATTTATAATTGTTAGATTTATTATTGAAACAGTGAATAAAGTTGAAATATATATACTTGATTGTAAGGTCAGCTTGGTGTTCTATCAGAAACAATGCACTTTTGGTGTCCTGTTTTTCTATAGCCTGGTGGAGGAGGGTCATGCCCTCTGCGTTTTTCTCGTTTATATTGGCCCCTGCTCCCAGCAGACGATCAGCCTCATTATGGAGTCCTGACCACAAAGCAAGACCCAGAACTGTTTGACCCTCCGAATCCTTGATGTTAAAGTTTGGTAAAATCTTAAGGGAGTCCTCACTATGGGCAGCTTTGACTGTTAAATTATAATCAAAATGAAATTATTTTGTAGGGATCCAACTGAAGTAAATAAATCTATGTTTTCTGAAATTTTTCATATCTATTCCTCCAAATATTAAACAATAGTCAATACTTTTATGTTGAAGAAAGAGTTCTACGATGCTGGAATGAGAGTTGACTAGTGCTAGGTGAAGTGGTGTTTGTTGTGACACAGGAGTTGTCTCCTCCTCCAGATTAAGCTGATCAACAGAGGGGGCGTGAGTCTGTGAGTTTGGATTAGCTCCCTTGTCTAGTAATACCTCTACTAGTTCCGTCAGCCCATTCAAACAGGCTAAATGTAAAGGAGTTTCTCCCTAAAATAAACAAATATGTAAACATCTCACCTTTATTATTATCCAACATTGTAATAATAATTCAAATGTAATTGTCAAGTGCTTGAATACCGGTATTCTGATTATTCTTTTATAGTGCATTGGTGCAAGCCAAATTAATTTTTATCCCTTTTTTTGCAAATTAGGATGAGAAGTGAATTTATGTGGACAAAATTTTCATAACCAAAATCAAAATTTCACAAATCCCTTTTATGTTGGTCTGACTGACTGAAAAACAATGAATTTCTAATTTTAAGGTATATATATATATATATATATATATATATATATATATATATATATATATATATATATATATGTATATATTTCATTTAATCACTGACAATTGTAATAGTGTAGGATTATAAACAGAAGACTTGTTATACCTTACTATTTGTGAGATTCACTTTTGCTGCATGTTTTGCTAAAAATATTCCTGCTCTTGAGTTACCACACCGAGCACATAAATGTAGTAGGCAGTCACCTACAAATCAATTGCATTAAATAATCTATGTGTAAAAATCTAGGACAATACTAGAGAGGTATGTACTCGGAACAGTAAAGTATTATAGGTACCTGTTTCTGGCTCCACTGCATCAGGGGAAGCCCCATGAGCAATCAGCTGTGCTGCAAAACTAGAGGGACTGTACACCTGTTCTGATGACCCTCCTAACTCTTCCCCCTGCAAATGTATAGCTCTTTATATACAAACTTAAAAAGATTAGATCTATATCTAAGTAAAATTTCCTATTAATGTATCCATTATTACAGCTCAGGTTTTGTGTACCTGTTGTAGAGCTAGCCAGAGAGGGGTGTGGCCGTCAGAATTCTTCAATTCAAACCTCACTCTCCCGCAGTTCAGGAGGATTTTCAGAACTGGCTCATTCTTATTATACACAGCACAATGTAGAGGGGTACTGAAATAGACAATACTCAGGTCTTTACATGATAAGAGAATAAAAGATCAAACAATCATATCCACGAATACCAATCTCATGAATATAAAATGTTTAAAATCTGTATCTTTGAAATGCACATTTGAAAACAAATCACACTCACCTTCCTGAAGCATCTTGTAAATTTGGATCAGCATCATGGTCAATCATTTTCTGAGCCAGTCTAGCCATCCCTCCCATGACCTCTGACCCCGTGACCTCTGGGTTAAAACTGGCCACCATGTGTAATGGACTCTCCTTGTCTAGGAAGGTGGTGAGGTTTACATCTGCATGGTGCTCAATCAAGAAGGTGGAAGAAAATTCATCAGCTAGAGTCAAAACAAAATTTGTATTTTCATATGACATTTTTACTGAATTTAAATTTTATGTACACTTCCTTAAGATATTGTGATGTGCAGTGTTAATTATGCTCCACATGTGTTATCAAACTAATTAAGAAGGAAGTTTCATTGCAGGCAGACTGATGAGAGCCCAGAATAATTTTGACTGACCTCTCTTTATGGCCTTGTGGAGGAGGCATTTGCCTGCATTGTCACGTCGATTGACATCTACTTTATGATTAACAAGTGTCATGGCAACACTTTCTTGACGACTGCTCAGCGCAAGATCTAAGGGGAGGTCACCCCTGTTATCTACCTCATTCAGCTTCTCTACTAACTGCAAAAAAAGTTAAGTTTCAGTCGTCGTGTCTACAATGTGGCAATCTTTAAAGCAATCTTTATACTTAGCATATAAACTTTTTATTAACAGGCCCCAAAGAATTCTTTTCCAAGGTCCTTATTACATATAATGAAAGTCTCTAAGAATTTGTCAGCTCTGGTAAAACTTGTACTTCTGGGGTTTTGGACTACTTGGCTCCAAACTTGTAGGCTATTAAAATATCACTCAAAATCAAAATTTTCTTGAAGGAACTCAAAATTCTAAACATGGAGCTAAAATGCACTGGAAACAAATGAAGCAAACATAGGAGAACTGAAAAATGAGTACAAATATGTAACAGCTACTCCAGTGAAAAGGAAAACCAAACTGGGGGGGGGGGGGAAATAAACCAAAAACTTGTGAGCAGAATAGTTATACAAATGTATAAAAAGAGGAAATAAAATGATCTCAACAGCTTTATTCATATAACATTCACATACCAGTAAAATGATTTTATTGCCTATTCAAATATGGGCAAAAATTTCCTGAGGAAAAATACCCAGTACATGGTTATCAAATATGAATTATGATTAACACAGACACAGGTTATTTATCTGGGGACAGAGTGAGTACATAAAGTTTATATTTTACATCCAAGCCTGTTAAGTCTACACAATGATGGTGTAAATTAGTAAAGTTGTAATGTACACATACAATGAAAATAAAATTTTAAATGCAAATAATATGCAAGATAGACATAGATAAAATTCCATGCAACTTTGCATGCTTCTTTGAACTGTTAATAAAAAGTCTGTGATGGTTAAAGAAATTGGTCCAGTAACCGTGGGATTCTATAAACAGAAGGGCATTCCTTACCTTGCCACGGAGCTGAGAGAGGACAATTGTTAAAGCATTAATCTAGTTTTTTATTACTCACTTCTTAAGAGTATGTTACAATCATGCAGCAAAAACACACACAACTTTGAACAAAGAGTCAAAGAATGTCTGAAAAATTTCCTTGATTCCTAAACTTCGAAAGAGTTTATTCACCCATACATAATTAATTGAAAATGATTTTAATGAAAGTCATAAAACAGAGGTTCAACATATTAACTGTACAGACAACAAAAAATAATTATGCAAAATTGTTTCCCAGCATAACAAAAGAATTTGAAAAAAAAACATTAAAAGGAAAATGCATCATATCTCTATGTAACAGTGAGATAAAATGGTAATCTGTCTCACCTGGGCATCAAACTCAATCAAGTAGAGGAACACCACATCCTCCCGCTTGGCTCTGATGGCTGTATGTAGGGGGTGCTCAGACTTTGTCTTAAACATCTGGTACAGAAGGGGCGCAGGCATGTGCTCAAAGTCTTCACTGGTAAAGTCATTCTGTAGAGACATCATTACAAATGGAGAGTTATTCAAGACTAGAGCTTGTCAGTCTTAACCAATGGGAATAAATATTGATTTACTGCCTGCATTCCGTGATGCTTCATGTTCATGTATCCAATATTAATGCAGTATTTAATTCAATTACTAATCATGGACACGTTTTTTCAGGTATGTAGGTGGTGCATCCATAACATTTATTTTCTTTCTCAAAGAACTAGCTATTTTCATAATGATGCAAATGTTCAGAACACAATGTCCCCATTAACTAATGAATTTGACAACAAAGTAAGAAGGTTTACTTGTGCTTTGCACTCATCATCACCCTTCCTCCGAATAAAATCGGATACCCCAAAATAAATATACAATAACTATTACTTTCAGTTTGATGTAGATCAATTCATTTGCACAGATTTTGAAAACAATGTTAACCACTTTCCCCTAACATTTAGCTTTTAAACAATCTCTTCACAATACTTAACAACTTAATAAAATGTTGTAAATAATTTCACCACATCAATTGTGAAATCTATAACTTATGACTAAAAAATATAATACTGTATCCTGTTCACTTACCCAGTGATTTGATATCAGCTCTGAGCAGTGATTCTTTAAAAGTTCAGCCTGAATTTCCTCAGCTGTCTGGTAAAATCTGATGCAGTTTTTCATGTTAACAAAGGACATCAGACCATTTTCACATCTGTTCAAATTAAAATGACAAAAATTACTAATGAGCCTATTCTTATAAAAACTTTGTGAAAAGCTCAATCAAAGAAAGATTGATACAACATTCCAGTAAAAGCAGCATAACCCCAAAATAAGTGAAACATTCACAATCTGATTTTATTTTCATATGATTGTTAAGATATTTCTGATAAATATAACTTAATTATACCTCTCCTGTAAAACTTTTAATTTAAATCGAGTGGCTGTGCGAAGTAATTCTAATAAGAAGAGCTCATCTGTCTTTATGTCTATGCTGTCTGTGTATACCCATTTCATCAGTGCATACGAAACTTCATACTTTATATCTGTTGAAAAAATAGAAATAAAATCACACATTTTTTAAACCTAAGTCTTATTAAAGGCATAAATAAGAAATTTACCAGGGCCCCAAACTACAGAAGAACCTATGACTACGACCAAAATGTTTTTTTTTTTAAATCAACTCTAGTTTTTGGTTTTAGTCCACTGTCCTAAGTTCTATTGTAAAATGTATGTAGGTAAAAAGTCTTATACTAAGTATTACAGTAAAACTCGTTTAGTACAAACACGGATATAGCGAATTTACGGATATAGCGAAGTCATTTTGAATCCCCAGCTATATAAATTTTATGAATTTCTTATACGGTTATAACGAATTACGGATATAGCGAAGTGATTCCATAGGTCCCAGCGACTTCGTTATAACCGAGTTTCACTGTATTTACACAATATCAAAAAAAATTTAAAAATATTTTCAAATACCATATGTTTACTGAATCATTGATTAATTGATCTTCATTGTGCAAAACATGTTGATCAAATGCTTACAAATATGAAACTATGAATTACAGTAAAAGCTAACCTGAGAGATCAAGAGTTGTGACTTGTGAAAGGTCGTCCACACCCCAGTAATCACTTCTAGCTGCCAAAACAAAACGATGGCCCCTCAAATTCCTGGATCCTTCTAGACTTATAGTCAAATCACTGACAAGGAAGAGATCATGATAATTATTAGTCCATAAGTTGTGATAGGGGTAAACGAACATTTTTTTTTAAATGGCCTAGACTTCTTTTCTTTTAAGTTTGTTGAACAGAATAATTCATCATCTATATCTTATATATTATACATTATTTTATTCCAATGGTTGATTTCAAACAATTATAAAAATGACTTTTTCCCTCAGACCCATTAGGTAAGTGTATACTTTTGCCTTTTTAACAATAAATATTAAAATAATCTAATTATTGAAAAGCAATATTTCACATCAATACAATTGACTAAATTAAACACATCATGACATTAGACCATCACTGTTCAATAATTGAATCTATAACTACATAATTATTGAAAATATCAATAGAAATAACAAGAAATGCTGTCATAACACAGTGATTGGGAAGGCCAAAATGGTCAATGGGACTATGGCGCAACTGTCAACATTTTTGATGGGCCATTTCGAAAATGAATGGGCCATCAATATAATCTGAAGGGCCATTTTAAGAAATAACAAAGTGACAAACAAATATGAAATACGAGAGAAAACCAGTTTTTAATTAACCTAATCCGACTTTTAACGATGAAAGGCAGCAAATTTAAAAGCACTTTCTTAGAATATAACTGACCCGTATTTTGTGTAAAACTTACAACAATTCTGGAAAGGGATCAGCCCTACCATACAAATGAATGAACTATTGCTCCTCATGTAAGTGCTTCGTTTAACCAGAAGTACTTCTTGACAGGTTTCAACTAATGAGATTTGTTGTTTTAAATTGACTGCATTTAAAACAAAAGTTCGTTAAACAAGAAAGTCGTACGATAAATATTTCCAAATAACATAGCAAAAAAATTGAATGCGCACCTTGGCGCCATGATTGATTGATTTAATGGGCCATTTTTTACTTCAATGTGACTATGGCATGTGGCGCAAGCCCTTCCCAATCACTGATAACAAGTTAGTTAGAATAATCTAACTGTGTCTCGGTACAGGCCCTCACCACAGTTAGAATACGTCCCATATACTTGCAACGTAGCAAATCGGAGCGGATCCGCTCCGAAACGATTTTGAAGAATATAAAATAATTTGCACTGGGAATAACTACCAAAATAATCAAAACAAACCTTCTTGAGATTACTTATGCCTTTTATCCCAAAAAATAATCCATATAAATATGTAAATCCAATTAATTTTCTCAACAATTTTCTCTCCATTCAAATGTTTACATTCGGAACTCTCTAGATTGTTCCTAGTAAATGCGCTATCGCCCGTGTTTCTTTCTGCTACATTACAAATACATGGAACGAATTCTATCGTTAAACCGTGTCCGTAGGACAATATCATTTTAACGATAGAACATTCTATCTAATAACAAGTACCTATAGAGCTCTTTATCAAAAAGGTCCGACACAGTTTTCAGTAGCCTTGCTACAAAGTTATCATCCCCTTCCTGTCCTGAGGCAGCTACAGCTATTTGATACTTTTTTTCGACTTCTGATAAACGGTTCTGGAGTTTGACATATTCCTCTCTCAGCAGACTCAGATGATTCTGTAGCTTTGCGACCTCCCCTAAAAATACCACTAACCTTTAGTCATCTTTTCTGCTGAACATGAAACACTGACAGAATAAAAGTCAATATATTTGTATACATGCTGAACACATTCTTAAAATCCATTTTCTCTTTTTTCCCGTCAAAATTGTCAAAGAGATAGTATGTTTTTCTCATACATTTATGGCATTTGTGAAGGAAACTCGAACTGATTAACATTATTCTATGCTTATCATTCAATAGCGCCAATATCCATGTAGAAAATTACATAAAATCAAATAATACGTTTCATGGATTTAAAATCAAAATGCAATTGCCACATGAAGGCCAAAATTAGCTAAAATTGACCACCAAACCCAAGTGGGGCACAAACCTTCCGCCATTTTGTCTTATTGGAATGATCATGTGACTTTCACTTTGCGGTTTGCAAATTATATCGAGCAAAAACTAATAAATTATTACTATAATTATTGCTCAGTAAAATAAGACATAAGATATGTTGCAACGATTATTGTGCATATTTGAAATTACAATTGTACAAGCCAGCAGACGATTTCGAATTAAGTTCTGTGTAGGTTTCATTTTTAGGACCAAAGCGTCATTTCCGGTGTTGTGTTGGACGCCAGAAGAGTAACTAATGTAACTAATTTGGTGTTATATTGAAAAGCTTGCAATATTTCCATAACTAGACTGCATTTTTGAGTCATTCAATGGATAATCCACAGACTGTATAAAGAGAATGACTTTGTCAACTCATCTTATTCCTGCTCGACGTGTTGTCGTGACTGGTATTGGGCTTCTCACGTGTCTAGGAGTAGGAAAGGACAAGGTGTGGAATAATCTAATCAACGGCCAATGTGGAATCCGTAAAATTGATAAGAAAGGTTTGTTTACCGGGTATATGATCATTTTGGTATGAAAATTATATAGTTTACTTTAATGTTTTAAGGCCATTACAGTGTAATTGTGAGTGTATGTTTGCTTATAAGCTCTGATTAAATCTTATTTACAAATAAGCAGAACTTTGGTATATTTTTATGATGACGTTATTCAGTATCATTTCTCAGTGTCTACATCCTTGACTAAAATTACCAATCTATTCTAATCAGATACCAATAATTAGTGGTGTTCCAATCATCGATTATAATCGAAAATCAGTCGATTGCTGGCATAATCCAAGCAATCGATTGCATTTTTAATATTCTGATTAATCGCTTTATTATTTTATTTTAAAAGCATAATAATTTTTAACCCTAAGTTTCCATCCACAGCATTACTTTTGACATATTCATGTAACGTAATGGTGCAGATAACAAACTCTTGTATTTCTACCCAGATAACAAAGCATGTTTCTGGGCTTTGGCGTACTTTTGGCTCTATAAATTGAACAAAGGACCAGCTGGATCACCACAGAAAGTTGTCATTTACCCATTCCTACCATTTACTTGTTTAAATTGTTATATACTTTTTACATGTCCGATTATAATCGATAATTAGTTACTTAGAGTAACCCAATCATCGATTGTGAAAATTTTACCGATTCCCATCACTACCAATAATAGGGACCTCGACATCTTTGCTAGCTAAGGGTGATGATCAGCTCCTCCCTTCTTTTCAAATGAGAAGAGCGGATCATCCCCCTTGGCAAGTGAACATGGAAGCTCGTTGGAGTTTGTAAATTTAAAATAAAAAAAGAACAGATGTCTTGACTGGCAAGTTTTTTCCAAAGAGTTTAGTACAGGAATGTTTTTATAATATACTACTACCTTCCATGACAAATCAAAAGGTATTCGGATATACATGTTGTAGTTAAAAGCTCTTTATCTGTATATATATCTTCAATTTTTGTTTTTATTATTTTTCATTCAAGTATATTATCATTTGATTTCCATTAACATATTTGAGAAAGAAATTCTGGTATTTTTCCAGAATTTCCACCAAATATTCCCTGTAAAATAGCCGGGTTTATTCCTGAAGATGTGAAAACACATTTCAGTTCAACAGAGCAGAGGCAGCTGTCTGAGGGGATAATGTATTCCCTGATTGCTGCTGAGGAGGCTCTATCAGATGCAAACTGGAAACCAGAAACTCAAGACCAGCAAGAGAGAACAGGTATAAAGACCCCTAATTATTATGAATTAAGGCCACTACTTCAATTATATATAGGATTCAATAACATAACATTGATAAATATCAAGGATTGTTAGTAAAGTTAGCATACAGAGTGATCTATGGAAGATCTATGTCTATAATCATAGGTGTAACCATAGGAATGGGTATGAATGGTATGAAGGAAATTTACACCACAGCTGATCGCTTGTTCCATAAAGGTTACAGAGAGGTCAACCCATTCTTCATGCCAAGGATTCTTATCAACATGGCAGCTGGACATGTTAGTCTGAAATATGGAATTCAGGTACCGTCTGAAATATGGATTTCAGGTACTGTAAATGAAAAGAAAAAATACTGGTTAATTGTTCTAGTGAACAACTGTATCTTTGGTACACTGTGTAAGTTTTCTAACTAGAAAGCATGGCTAGTTTCTTGTTACAAATGAATTTTACAGCATGTACCCCACAGTTAATTACCGTATAAGTGGAAATTTTAGCGAGACGCAAATTTAGCGATTTCTACCTAAAAACTGGTATTTTATTCTTAGCAAAAGTAAGTTCAGCGTTATTCTTAGCGAAAGTAATTTCAGCGATTTTAAAATATTAACTAAAGAAGGTATTACAAATAATACACAATTAATTTTTAGCGATATTCAATTTTAGCAATGTCAGCACCCTCACTAATAATGCCAAAATTAAATCCTCGCTAAAACTTCTACTTATACGGTAATTAAAACATTACTGGTTTTGTTTAGGTATGGTTGATATATAAAGGTTATTATTGTGGTTATCATTTATGTGTGAAATTTAATGAGTATAAGCTGTATTGACAAACAAATAATTAGCAAATATTTTTTTTATGATTATTACAGGGACCAAACCATGCTGTTTCCACAGCCTGCACCACTGGGCTCCATGCAGTAGGGGATGCGTTCAGATTCATACAGAGGGGGGACGTTGATGTGATGGTGGCAGGGGGTGCAGAAGAAAGCCCCAACCCTCTCTCTGTGGCAGGATTCTCAAGGTTAAACTTCTAACAGACAATTCTCATTTTAGATTTAGTCAATATATGCAATGAAACATGATTCTAGTACATGTATACAAAAAGTCAAAAATGTTATTGAATAAGTCCTTAAATTAAATTTTTTTGATATTAATCGATTTAAGGTATGCATATAGAATCTTTTAAAAAATTTTCTCTTGAAGAGAGAAAATTATTAAATATTTTATAAGCAAATGCTGTGTGACAAGTTTCTCAGCTTGTAGAACTAATAATTTTTTTTCCGCAATATGAAATGTTGCAGGATGAGAGCTTTATGTACCAAGTTCAATGACCACCCAACGGAAGCCTCACGACCTTTTGACAAGGACAGAGATGGCTTTGTGATGTCTGAGGGGGCAGGTGTTCTGATTCTGGAGGAGATGTCTCACGCCGTTGACAGGGGGGCTAACATCTATGCTGAAGTGCTAGGGTATGGTTTGTCAGGGGATGCCTTCCACATGACTGCTCCAAGGTCAGATGGTAGAGGTGCGTACAGGTGTATGAAGGCTGCTCTAAAGGATGCACGTGTCAGCCCAGCAGACATTGGGTATGTTAATGCTCACGCCACATCTACTCCTCTTGGAGACAAGGCAGAGAGTCAGGCAATATGGAGGATATTTGAACAATGTGACAAAAAACCTTTAGTCTCATCTACAAAAGGAGCTCTAGGACATTTGTTAGGGGCTGCAGGAAGTGTGGAGGCAGCCATCACAGTTCTGGCCTGTCAATTAGGAATTATACCGCCCACTATTAATCTCCACCAATCAGATACTGGAGTAGATCTGGATTATGTTCCTCTTGTGTCACATGACTGGAAACATGATACAAGGACAGCTTTAACAAATTCATTTGGATTTGGTGGTACAAATGGAACTCTCTGCATTAGATCTTTTAGTGGAGGGTGACATTTATTAATTTTGTCTGTTAATTGAATCTTAAATTTATTAAACATTTTATGTTGCTGGAAAATTTTGAGTGCTTATATATCTTATATATATATATGAACTAAAAGTTTGATGTAGATTCATAAGAATGCATACATGTATAACGTGTCATCTTACCCTGAAATCTCCTTATGGTATCCAATCCTTAATAGCAACAGACCTAATGAATTGAATAGATAACAGGTTTCTTGGAGTTGAATACTCAGTATTTTTAAACATAAATCCCATTTATTATTTTTAGCATGTAAGGATGGGATGTGTCCTAATTAATGACCTTGAATTTTGGTAAGAGTTATCGCCCTCTGTTTTAAATTAATTAAAAAATCAATTTTAAAAAACTTATTTCCTGGTAAAAAAAATTTTTCAATTGCCATTCTATATCTAATGTTTCAATACATATTTCCAACACAGTATTTAATGATATTCTCACTTGAATTTTTACTTAAAAAACATGCATGTGAACAATTACTGATCAGAAAGTTGTATAATTGCTATTAACACCCCCTTTCCATTTGAGAGGCAGTTTACAGAATTCAGCAAATGTCTATTTCTGGGTATTAAACAAACCAACTTATATAAACATAGTTATAATGAGGAAAGGTGTCTCTTTCAAAATTATAAATTTCATGGCCCCTGGGTCAGGGGCTCTGGTGTTAGAGTGAGGCCGTATTGATTTTATAGGGTAAATGCATTTATTTTTTGAAAATCTTCTTTTTCTTTGCTTCTAGGTATTAAACAAACTAACTACATACATAATTATAATGAAGAAGGGTGTCTTTTTCAAAATTATGAATTTTAAAGCCCTAGGGCCAGGGCTTTGGTGTTAGGGTGAGACTTTATTGATTATAAAGTGGAAATGCATTAATTCTTTGAAAATCTTGGAGTTCTCTGCTCCTGGGTATTAAACAAACCAACTAACTACATAGTTATGAGAAAGGATGCCTCTTTCAATATTGTGAATTTCATGCCCTTGGGTCAGAGTTCTGGTGGCCTTCTCATCAGCCCCTGGTTATTAAGTAGATGAACTACATAGATAGTTTTTTTGAGCATGGGTCCTTTTTCTGGGTCATGGGTACTGTGTGAGGGTGTGTGTGTGTGTGTGTGTGAGGGTGTGTGTGTTGGGGGGTCTTATGATTATATACTGAAAGTGAATTAATAGGTTTGAAATCTGCTTCTTGGTATTGATAAAACATTTATGATGAACAAGGATGCCATTTCCAAAATTGTGAAATATATGGCCCAAAGGTCAGGGGTTCCTGTAGGGGGTGCTTCTGATTATTACTGATATTTACTGATAAGTTGAAATGAATTTTTGGGTTCCCCTATACGGCCTCTGATTTAAAACACAAATCAAATTTAATTGTTGAAAAGTTGTTTTATGATGCTCAGGTGACTTATAAGGCCGATGGGCCTCATGTTATGCTGTCAATTCCTGCAAATGGCTTTACCCTCAATAAATATTCCTCAACAGAAGACATTACTTCGTATGACGTGTTGAACCTCAAAATGGCGACAACCGTAATAAACTGTAATTATCGCTGAAATTGCATCTTCATGTTTTAAAAACTATATATTAAAAAAGAACTAATGTGCTTCAGATATGATAGAACTAGACATTTGAATTCTTTAAACTGACTACCAAATTAACAGGCGGGGAGGTGGTTTAATAGGAATTAATGATCAAGTAATTGTCAACACGGCTAGTTAATACATTTTATAAGCATATATTACCAAGAATTTTATTTGAGCTGCAACAACACAAGAAATTTTTAAGCCCACACGTTGAATATTGAAACAGGTCGACACCATAACATTCCTAAGAATAATGAATTAGAATTATGTACATGTTGTAATCTCCATGATATAGAAGATGAATTTCATTTTATTTTGAAATTCCCAGTTGTATATTGATCTAAGAAAAAAAACTTTGCAGAAGTGTTATTATACTAAGCCAAGTGTTTTTAAATGAATTCAGCTGTTAAGTTCCAATAATATTAAAGATCTTTTAAATTTGGGCAAATTTTTGAAAGCTGCAACAATGTTAAGAAAAAATAAAATTGAGGTATAGTATAATTTTCATGTACTAGTATGTGTTTTTTACGTTCACTCTCTCTGTATGTTTTCCTTATTATTATCATGTTTGTATTCTCTGATGAGCCAGTTGGCTTAAAGAAATAAAGAAACTGAAACTTTTAAGCCCATGAAGCTTATATTCGTGGACCTGTAAAAAATAAAGTTTTTTTTCGATACAAAACTAAATTTTCGTGAATAAAAGCGTACCCTTTTCCTTATAATGCTAAGTACGCTTGATTTTCCCTGTGCTTAATATATTTTACAAAACATATATACACATAAACTCTAATAACTAAAGTATTTTTATACAGCTATTTCAATCTACAGGATTCAATTAAACAATTGGAAATCTTAAATATAAAATAAACAAAGAACCAATGACCAAATGAAATTTAAAATTACAGTGACGACTTGAAGCATCTGAAAAATTTAGTGATTCAAATTCTAAAACATTTACCTCTCCCTAGAAAATTCAAAAATTTACAACATTATTGCATCTTTTTACGCTTATATACATACTTTTTCAGTTCTTTTATTTACTTCAATTGTTATATTATACTGAGTACGTAATATTCCTTGTCCATTCAAGTCTATAAACGTGTATCTTCAAAACATATTTGTTCCGATGTACTTTCTAATTTAATTTGTGTTTCAGTTGGTGGGTAGCAATGACATTTAAGCATAATCCTTTTATTAGTTATTTCAATTGCATTCGAAGTTTCCTTAACTGCATAAGCATCACAGAAATCACATCTTCTTTGAGAGTCAATTGGGCAATTAAGACAACCACAAGAAAAAGTGCAAATTAATCTCAATACACAGCAGCATTCACAGTATCTGCATCCCTCCTTACAGAGAATAATTTCTTCACTCGATGATCGTGATATACTTTTAGATTTAAATGTATTTTCACATTTACATTGACCAGCACGTTCACTACATCCTCTTAAACAGTCTTTCTCATAATCTGCAAGAACGCCTTCGTTATGAATACATTCAATTTTCCCCGTTTTCATTTCATTGATATATTTCTTTATTTCCGACCGCTTCATATGAACCCTGCTTGTAAAGTCTGTTATAAGAAGCTCCTCCACTATTCGAGGTGGACCAAAAACGAAAAGGAGTGAAACCACAGTAGTCCAGTCTAATCGAGCACCAATTTTTATATATTCTACTTTTTGCATAGTATCAAATATTATTATAAAAAATAAACTACTTACTGTAATTTTAAGAAGCAAATAAAAGGCTTCGTTTTTCAGAGGAAAGTATTTAGCAACAATTGTATTAAAATCCTGTGTAGATATACTGGTTTCCTCAGTAATTTCAAAAATTTCATTCAAGAGATTTTTATACAACTCTATGAACTGGTGAACGTAGCGAAAAAGGTATACTATGACAGAGGTCACAAATATGATATAGATGAAAACCTGAACAGGGTAATGGGGAAGTGCCAACAATACTGTATAAATAAAAAACTGAACAAGGTAACTCATCCCATAAAAGAAAATATTGAAAGAATACTCATATGACAAAACTATGTATGTCCCCGCAGCAGCATGACAAAATAAATTGCAAACTAGAGACCTTAATTTTTCTTTGAAAGACTTTTCTGTCCTTTTTGGTAGCTGTTCAGTTCTCTCCTTGTTTTCACAATGATGTAAAGAGCGTTCGCCCTTTCCTTCTGCAATTTCAGTTCTTCTTTCTTCAGTATTTTGTTTGTCTTTACTCTGGTCCTCATTTTTCTCATTTAAACAACAGTTACTTATACAGAAAAGTATACACGTAAAAAATTTGCTTAAGAAAACATAAAAAATTGAAATGATGGGGCAAATAGCATTAAACAATATGAGCATTGCATTAAAAGGAAATATTATAACTGAAGTAGCATAAGCCCATCGACACTCAAAATCAACACCCCTGATGAAAAATATTCTAGTCCAAAATGTGTAGGACAGTATTAAAGACAGCTTGTGAATTTTAAATGACACTAAAGATTTTTCAAATTGCATGTCTTCCTTTGTATTAGTATCATTTAACATCTCTATCGTAGTATCGTACGTTCTTGAGTCACTTTTCATTTCGTCTGATTGGAGAGCTTCTGTTGTCTCCTCAGGTAGAAATACAACAACTGGAATCAGCCTGAATATATTCCCATCTGTACGAATATTACTTAAATCAATGATGAGAAAATCGTCAAGTATGCCGCCAGAATTTATCAAAACACATAAATTGACGAGTGCGAAATTCAATACGCCCCATGCAACCTTTAAACTATTTTTGGTAGTCATATAAAAATTTTCTGCATGCTGAAATGGTCCTTCGTCGTTGGAAGACTTTAAAGAGCAATCGCATTTACTGAACACCTCTGATTTTGCAAGATATACTAGGGATGTAAGAACCATAATAAGGATAATAATTCGCAAAGCTGCAAAATACTTATTACTTCCTGTATAAATTAATCGTAAAAGAAACCTCGCTGGGCTGTAAGGAGAATCTGACTTGTAATATCTGTAGAACTGGGTTTTGTAGTTTGTACTGTGAGTGTAAAATGCCATTTCTATGATGAGTGGATAAAACGCGTACAGGAACAATATGATAATAATAACAATTACATTTACATAAGATTTTCCCACAACTTTGAATTCGTTGTTCTCAGTTAGGCACCAAAAACGATATCCTATTTTAACGCCAGATAAGTTGATCATGAATTTTGATACTTTATCATAGGATTCAAGTTTTGAATGGCAGATGTGTCTATTGTTCTCGTTAGAGATGGTACCATTTTCATAAATAATATGCATAAGATATTGCGAAAGGTATTTGTCAAAATGAAATCGGCAATCCGTTGTAAAGTTTCCTATGGAAATGTTGACTTTGAAAGAATCTTGTTTTGCTTTCAGTAGACCAAAACTGAAGACGTCAACATCCTCCGGATAACCCAAGACGTACTGCTGATCTTCTGCAATCCATACCCATCTTCTACGTTTTTCAGCTTCAACAAATGTTTCATCATCCGATCCATTGATTGCTAGGTCAAAAAATATTATATTTATCCCCTTGTAAGCAAGATCTTGAAATGATTCAGGTTTTACTTGTAGTGACGAAGAATACTGAATGCAAGCGTTGGTTAGATTGTTCATATAAAATGTCAAAGAAATGCACAGCATCATCAATATGTCCTGATTGAGAAACCTATAAAAGTAACGTACAAAAGTGTTAGTCAACAATTTAATTACGTAGTTAATCATGAAGCAAAGTGACACTTAGGAATCAAGGTTGCAAATATCTATCTGGCTCTCTTTCGTCTTGTATTTCTTGAGAAAAGTAACTGTTATAGTAATCTATATATAATATAGCTCAAAGTTGGGGAGAAAAACTTTAAAGATTTCTCATGCACAAGTACCTGAATAAAATTTTGCTTCAGAAGCAAACACAATAAATGAATACTCTAATAAAGGTACACATTTTGTACCTATGGAAATAACAGGTATTTGGAAGACTTAGACTTTAAAAATATAGGTATTCTTATAATACCTCGGAGTACTTGTATTTAGACTTTTTTGAACATAGAAATTTTGTAGAAGACAAAAAGGCGTTCAAACTTTTTCTTTATTACAGTTGGGGAAAATCTTTAAAGTTCTTTTTCCCAATAACAACATAGCCATGATTAGTTATATTTTTATTAAGCATATTCAATTAGCGTAGATTCCAATTAATGTGTTTATAAAAAGTAACCTCCGGGGGAAGGATGGGGTCACAAAGACCAATTAAAGTTTAACACAAGAAAATTTAAGACAATATTTTAAACTTTTTTTCTTCAAAAAATGAAGACATGTACATAAATACTGATAAAGAACAGCAGGAACATACTTACATTTCTCTGGTGAGCGTTGTACCCTAGGGACCTCTTATTTTAAAAAAAAGTTATGACGTTAAAAAACAGGTTTAATGTATTGTGGGGAAGTATGAAAAAGTTACAAAAAGATTATGCTGTTGGATTTGAGGGAAAATTGTAAATCAAAATTTTCTTTAAAAAAGAGAATCCCCCTTTACACCATGAATATGGTCTAAGACAGTATGTCCTCTCTACAGCAGTGTTTTTGGGGTGTAGAGATGGGGGTTTAGAAGAACATTATTTGTACCCTGCAATGTGTTTATTCCTATTGTCTTTATAAAGTTTTGGAATTCAGAATAGGTAGGGTATCTTAGCTTCATTCCTTAAAACTTTTATAAACGTGTGATCTTTTGGAGATAACATTGTGAATTGGATTTCTTGATTTGGAACTAAAGCCGGGATCTCCTAAAATGCAGATTGAATAATTAGCTATACAAACAAAAACTAATTCTTTGTCAGTTGGGATCAAGAGATACTGATCCTGATCAGATAATCTTTCTAGTTCCTTTATCACTTGTAGTCTACTGAAGACAGAAGAGTAAGTAGTGTGAATTTGCATGAAGTATATGGAGATAACGAACAGTAATCAAGCTCAAACAAGGATCTCCAAAATACCAGGGGTAGAACCAGGTGCCACAAAGGAGTGAGCACCCCCTGCCGACCGGTCACATACACCGTGTGCTCCTTGTCATGATCGGGTTATAACTAAACAAACCATTGTCAATTTAGTTTGTAAATGACGGACTAACAATTGGAAAAACGTCAGTTAAAAAATAACAGTATATCTTCCACAAAAATAACAGCATACCTTCTAATGCATGATTGCCAGATTTTATTGAAGGATCTACCGGCATGTACATGTACTTAGTATAAAGTACCTGTTTTTGTAAAGAGGATATTCATGTTTTGTAGTTGGATATGGAATTTATAACCGAGTGGGACAGTTTCAGTGATTGCTGAGGAGATGATAATTCCTTATTTTAGCCCCTTTCCCCTCACCCCATTTAACGAGAGGTACTTTTATAGTAGTACATTTGACAGTGATTTCTGTTTATATTGCCTTTCGTGGAAATCTGCTTCCAATGTTCCATGTAATCAAAAACATCGCTCAATTCAAGAAAGAACATTCAGAAAATGCTAAATCAAATCTTTGCTTGTCCACTGGTAAAAATGTCGTACACAAAATACATTAATTTATATCATTTAGTGTCATCAACAATCTTATTTCATCATCACCTTCATTTACTATAGTATATGATGTT